CGGCCAGAACTAATGAAGGAAGAGCCACAGTCAGACACATCCAGGAAAAAAACCCTGATTATACTACAAATACTATGCCATTCTTCAAAATCGATTACTCCAAAGTCACAGAGAAAAGCCTAAACACCGCAAATCAGGAATCTTACAGCCCACATTCTCTGGTCATATCTCACACCAGTTTCTTTAAAGATTAAATGTTTGGACAAAAGTACTTGAGGAAAATATAAGAGATTTTTCTATTTTTGTAGTAAGGAAGACATTCTGGCATGACATAAAGGGGAGAAAACTTTGTTGTGCATGTGAGGAAGATTGGCCCTGAGCTAACATTTGTGCCCATCTTCCTCCACTTTGTAGGTGAGATGCCTCCACAGCATGGCTGATGAGTGGAGTCGGTCTGCACCTGGAACCTGAACCCACCAACCTCAGGCTGCTGAAGCGGAGCACATGGAACTTGAACCACTCGGCTACAGGGCTGGCCCCAAAAAAACATTTTTTGAAAACTCTGAATCTAACAGCACACATAAAATAGATCAAGTGTGAAAAAATATTTCTAAGTAAAGACATTGAAACAGTAATCAAAAACCTCCCAAAAATAAAAGTCCAGGGCCAGATGGCTTCTCTGGAGAATTCTACCAAACATTCAAAGAATATTTAATACCTATCTTCTCAAAATCTTCTAACAAGTTGAAGAAGATGGCACACTTCCTAACACATGTTATGAGGCCAACATCACCCTGATCCCAAAGCCCGACAAGGACAACATGAAGAAGGAAAATTACAGGCCAATATCACTAATGAACATAGATGCAGAAATCCTCAACAAAATATTGGCAAACCGAATACAGAAATACATTAAACAGATCATACACCAAGATCAAGTGGGATTTAGACCAGGAACACAGGGATGGTTCAACACTCGCAAATCAATCAATGTGATTCACCAAATTGACAAAATGAAGAATAAAAACCACATGATCCTCTCAATAGATGCAGAGAAAGCATTTGACAAGATCCAACAGCCATTTATGATAAAAACTCTTAACAAAATGGGGATAGGAGGAAATTACCTCAGCATAATAAAGGCCATATATGACAAACCAACAGCCAACATCATACTCAACAGGGAAAAACTGAAAGCCATCCCTCTGAGAACAGGAACAAGACAAGGGTGCCCACTCTTACCACTCTTATTTAACATAGTACTGGAGGTTTGGGCCAGAGCAATTAGGCAAAAAAAAGAAATAAAAGGAATCCAAACTGACAAGGAAGAAGTAAAACTCTTGCTGTTTGCAGACAACATGATTTTATATACAGAAAACCCTAAACAATCCATCGGAAAAGTATGAGAAATAATCAGTACTATAGTAAAGTTGCAGGGTACAAAATCAACTTACAAAAATCAGTTGTATTTTTATACTCTAATAACAAACTCACAGAAAGAAAACTCAAGAATACAATCCCATTTACAATCACAACAAAAAGAATAAAATATCTAGGAATAAATTTAACCGAGGTGAAAAACCTGTACAATGAAAACTATAAGACATTATTGAAAGAAATTGATGACGACATGAAGAAATGGAAAGATATTCCATGAACATGGATTGGAAGAATAAATATAGTTAAAATGCCTATACTACGGTAAGCAATCTACAGATTCAGTCCAAACCCCATCAGAACCCCAATGACATTCTTCACAGAAATAAAACAGAGAATCCTAAAATTCATATGAGGCAACAAAAGACCCTGAATAGCTAAAGCAATCCTGAGAAAAAAAGAACAAAGCTAGAGGCATCACAATCCCTGACTTCAATATGTACTACAAAGCTATAGTAATCAAAATAGTATGGTACTGGCACAAAAACAGACACACAGTCAGTGATATTCCACAAGTGAAAGCCCAGAAATAAAACCCACACATCTATAGAAGCTAATCTTTGACAAGGGAGCCAAGAACATGTAATAGAGAAAGAAAAGTCTCTTCAATAAATGGTGTTGGGAAAACTAGACAGCCACACACAAAAGAATGAAAGCAGACCATTATTTTTCGCCATATATAAAAATTAACTCAAAATGGATCAAAGACTTGAAGTTAAGACCTGAAAACATAAAACTCCTAGAAGAAAATACAGGCAGTACACTCTTTGACATTGGTCTTATAAAGATCTTTTTGAATACAATGTCTACTTGGACGAAGGAAACAAAAGAAAAAATAAGTGGGACTTCATCAGACTAAAGAGCTTCTGCAAGGCAAAGGAAACCAGGACCAAATGAAAGGACAACCCACCAACTCGGAGAAAATATTTGCAAATCATATACCTGACAAGGGGTTAACTTCTAAAATATATAAAGAACTCACATAACTCAACAACAAAAAAACAAACAACCCGATCAAAAAATGGGCAGAGGATATGAAAAGACATTTTTCTAAAGAAGATATACAGATGGCCAATAAGCACATGAAAAGAGGTTCAACATCACTAATCATCAGGGAAATGCAAATCAAAACTATGCTAAGATATCATCCAACACCTGTTAGAATGGCTATATTTACCAGAGGATGTAGGGAAAAGGGAACCCTCATCCACTGCTGGTGGGAATGCAAACTGGTGCAACCACTATGGAAAACAGTCTGGAGATTTCTCAAAAAATTAAAAATAGAAATACCATATGACCCAGCTATCCCACTACTGGGTAGTTATCCAAAGAAGTTGAAATCAACAATTCAAAGAGACTTATACACCCCTGTGTTCATTGCAGCATTATTCACAATAGCCAAGACGTGGAAGCAAGAAGATGTGGTGTATATATACAATGGAATACCACTCAGCCATAAAAAAGACAAAATCATCCCATTTGCAACAACATGGACAGACCTTGAGGGTATTACATTAAGCAACATAAGCCAGAAAGAGAAAGACACAGTATGATTTCACTCATATGTGGAAGATAAACTAACACATGGACAAAGAAAACAGATTAGTGGTTACCAGAGGGTAAGGGGGTTTGGGGGTGGGCAAACAGGGTAAAGGGGCACGTTTATATGGTGATAACAATAATAATGTACAACTGAAATTTCACAATGTTATAAACTACTATGACTTCAATAAAAAAAATTTCTGGGGCCAGCCCCGTGGCTGAGTGGTTAAGTTCAGGAGCTCTGCTCCCTCGGCCCAGGGTTTTGCTGGTTCAGATCCTGGGCGCGGACATGGCACCGCTCATCAGGCCACACTGAGGTGGCGCCCCACATGCCACAACTACAAGGACCCACAAATAAAATGTACAACTGTGTACTTGGGAGACTTGAGGAGAAAAAGTAGAAAAAAAAAAAACCCAGAAGATTGGCAACAGTTGTTAACTCAGGTGCCAATATTTAAAAAAAAAAAAATTTCAGGCCAGCCTGGTGGTGCATTGGTTAAGTTCACACGTGCTACTTCAGCTGCCCAGGGTTCACTGGTTCGAATCCCAGGTGCAGACACAGCACCGCTTGGCAAAAGCCATGCTGTGGTAGGCATCCCATGTATAAAGCAGAGGAAGATGGGCATGGATGTTAGCTCAGGGCCAGTCTTCCTCAGCAAAAAGAGAATTGGCAATAGTTAGCTCAGGGCTAATCTTCCTCAAAAAAAAAAAAAAATCTAAAACAACTTACAAAACGACAAACAGAAAATATGCTTAATGTATAAACTTGTTTTAAATAAACAAAAAATAATAATAATAACATTCTTTGATAAGTGGGCAAAGGAAATCAATAGGCAATTTAGAAATTCCAGTCGTACCATTTATTTATTTATTTTTTATTTTTCCTTCTTCTCCCCAAAGACCCCCAGTATATAGTTGTATATTTTAGTTGTGGCATGTAGGATGCCGCCTGAGCATGGCTTGATGGCAGTGCCAGGTCTGTGCCCAGGATCCAAACTAGTGAAACCCCAGGCCACTGAAGCTGAACGTGTGAACTTAACCACCTGGCCACAGGCCGGGCCCCCCGCCCCCCTTCTTTTTACAGTTGTACCATTGATTAACTGTGTAATTTAGGGGCAAGAAACTTAACTGAATGTATTTCCTCATTTGTCAACTAAGAAAAATACCATATTTCATCAATTCTGAGATGCCACTGATTGTAAAGCCACCATTTGTTTATACACTAGGAAAGGAAAATGCCATCAATGAAACTGTGTCTTGCCAGGAATTGTAAAACCCATCCGATTTCAGAGAAGTTAAAATGTGGGGGGAAAAGTGCATCACAGAATTAATGAAGTATAGTTCTACCTGCCTCATAGGGTTGTTATGTGGATTTAACAAGATAATATGTGTGAAGAACTTCAAACTACAAGCGGCTCAGAGTAAACACTCAGTAAGTTAGTTGTTTCTATCAGTAACGTGATCCCACTCTGAAAACAAATTACATCCTCACACATACGTGCAGACAAAATAATTTGAAAATATTAATAGCGACTATCTCTAGATGGTGGGACCATGGGTGACAAACGTTCTTAATAATTTTCTCATGTTTTGAAATTTTTCCAAGAATCCTATATTGCTTTAATCATTAGAAAGTGAGCAATTAGGTTATTTCTACCTCGGGGGAAAAATATCTAGAGATGAAGGGGGCAGGCAGGCATTTCAGGCTGTTAGAAATTTGGAAGCAAATAGGCTACTGCATGTGACCTTGGAGTGGACAACAAAGAAATTAGTGAGATTGAACTGAGTAAACTTATTCTGTTCTTCAACTTCCCTGCCAAATCACTGAGGCACAATCCATCGAGAGTATTTTGGGAATGAACAAAATCCAGGATAATGGTAATTCTACATCAGATCAGACAATGTATGCAAAGCAGACAGCCCTGGTTTAGGTTCCTGGCAGGAAAACTGTTCCATATATGTGGTTTCCTTCTCTCTCCTCCTTTCTCCAACTCACTATTGTAAATCTTTTGGACAGAATCCTAAAATGGGATAGTGCCGTGGAAACCAAGAACAAGAAGAAAGTGCCAAATACAACTTACCTCCCCCATGACTTCTGATGCACGGCGGCTCTTCTCCTCTTCTGGATTCTTAAGAGAAGGAAAAAGGTGGAAAAGGGTTAAGAAACTATGAGACAACAGTCCCTTCCTGCCCGGAGGCGGCCAAGTCCGAATAAATCCCTGTCCCATCCCAGGCACTGAGAGGTAGCCCAAAGCGCAAGAAGCCTGCAACCCCACCGCCCTCTCCCATCATCACAAAGAGCAGATGAACTTCACCCCAGGACTGTGGCCTCCTTTCTCCGTAAGAGCCTGACTTTGGATTCTTCCAGCCCCAGTGCCTTACACTGAGCCCATATCTGTGGCTCCAAGACACAGCCTAAATGAATCCATTTGTCAGAGTCCCACACTCCTGTCCTCTTGGCTGGGGGCACCTCTATGGGCCACACAGTGAAAGAACAGAGAAGTGGAAGTAGGAGGGGCACCCAGTCCCAAGCTTAGAAACCCAATGGACACCAGAAATAGCCTCGGGAAGAAGGTCATCCACTGCGCTGGAGAGCGCACGGCGGCGGCTGTGTCAGTTTCGGCTGCGCAGAGAGCGCCATGGGAGCTACAAAGGCTCGAACGCAGCCGGGGTCTGAGGTGAACCCCCAGAGCCCATCCACCGGCGGACCAACTCCCCTGCCCCGCCCCCAGCATCGACCAAGAACGTACAAAGAGGGCCCCTTTCCAGTTCTAGCCCCAAAGGCGGAGTTGGCGACGCGGCCACGGGTCGCCGAGTCCGGGACGTCGGGTGCACAATCCACGCCCGGAGGGTATCGCACGGACTTTCTTCCCAGGCAGGAGTCCACGAAGCTGCCGTACACTTGAGCGCCGACCGCCAGCCCGCTCCCGCGCCAGCCTGCAACCACGCCCCCCCAGGCAGACGCGCGGCCGACGCCCCCTTTCTTCCCGCCATCCGCTCGTCTCCAAGCGCGGGCGCGCAGCCTGGCCACGCCGGACAGCCATCCGTATTTAAGACTCCAGACAGGCCCCAGCCCCGCCCTGGGGGTCCTCACCGCCCACCTCTTGGGGTCCTCGCTCTCCAGTGTGATCGAATCTGCCCCAAATCAGTGAGCTAGGCCGCCCGGAACACCCCGACCCTTAGCGTCCGAACTCCCGCCAACTTACCACTGGCCAGCCAACTTTAAACGGAAGTGCATGCGCCGTGGAGCCCTTGGGAAAATATTGTCCAGAGGAGGAAACTCCAGCCAGTGCCCGGCCGGCACAAGTCTTTTCCGCCCAGGGTCGCGGTGTGTTCCAAACCTTCAGTGAAGCCCACACCTGGCCGCCCAGCCGCGCCCGAGCATCCTCTGCGGACCTGGGCGAACCCACAGGTCCAGGAGCAATAGGTGGCCGCCAGGGGTAAGAAAAGGTTGTGGACCGTGGAGGCTTCTGGGAAAGATAGCGCACAGCCAGGGAAAGGGAGGAGGGGTCGGCCACGAGGACGTCCGAGTCCCCGAGGTTAACCCGTCTGCAACAGCCTCGCCCCAAACTGGGAGATGCCCAGAGGCCTCTAGCAACTGTAGTTAGAGGCCGGGAGGCCGACCGTCCAAAGTTCTCTCCACACGGAGCCGCGCTCTGAGCGTGGGATCAGGAGAGGACCACTCCCCGCCATGCCACGAACTAGGAGTCCTCCCGCACCTGGGCGGTTCAGCCCTTGGCGCCCCACAATCCTGGTCGAGCTGGGTGCCCAGGTTTCCCCTGAGAATTCACTCTCCAGTCGCGGGCTCCACTGGGAAGCGCGGTCCTCAGTCTGGAACACCGTAAGACTACAGCCAGATGTCCCGGCTGTTCAGCATAATTCGGGCGGGATCACAGGGGCGCCCAGTAGGGGCTGGGGGATCACAGGGGCGCCCAGTAGGGGCTGGGCCCACCCTGGAGGCGTCTGGGAAATGTAGTCCTAGCTTAGCAGGGTGGGGATGTGGCGGAGAGACTGAAGTGGGGCAGTCTTGAGCTCAGGGTGGGAGACTCTGAGAAGGGCCAGCGGGAGGTTGAAGGAGGGCAGCCCTGAGTCCGGAGTGGAAGTAATGGAGTACCAATACTAACCTCTATATATCATGTAATCTGTTTTCAAACTTTGTATAAGTACATAAACAGAGATGGAAAGGCACTTAAGATCTCTGGAAAGTTACACTAATATTTGTTAACAGTAGTTAATTTCTAGGACATGTAATTATGAATATTTTCTTTTTACCTTAGAGTATTCCCTTATATTTTGGACATAATCATGTTCTTCTTATGAAACATTACGTATTAAATTTGTTAAGTATAAAATGAATAAGTATAGACTCTGAAATTAATGAACTAGAAAATAGAAAAGTGGGCCAGATTTTAAAAATTCACAGTTTGGTTCTAAAGGATAAGTGAAACACAATATTGATAAACAATAACAAAACAAAAAAGAAATTAAAACAAAAACATTAGAAATGAGAGAGGTTAAACCATAGACACAGATTTGGAAAGAATTCTGAGGCTGTTATGTGCAACTCTATAACCATGGTAAAAATAATTGTAGATTTTCTAGTAAAATTTAAATTATTAATTTCTACTAAGAACTGGAAAACCTGAATAGAATAATAACCAAATAAAATTTAAATATATCTTAAAATATGTACCATTAAAAAGTTACCAGATGGTTATAGCTGGGTTTTAGCTAACTTTTGAACTTATAATGATTATTCGATTTATTTGGATCCAAGGAAAAGATGGAATGCTGTCTAATTTTGTGTACCTAGTATAAAACCTGATACAGATGGGCCAAAAGAAAAGTATTAATCAGTTGCATTTGTGTTAAAAGATAAACTGAGGCACGTTAAAATGTTCAAGAGTTTATTTGAGCATATATTGATTTGAATTAGGCAGTATCAAACCGAAAGTGGTTAGGAGCGCTCCACCAACAGGAGCTATTGGAAAGGTTTTTGTAAAGAAGACCACTAAGCCAAGCAAGGAAATTATTTGATTGGATATCACTTAAGCAGTTCCCCTATTTGGGAAAACTAAGTTGGCTTTTGTGATTGGTTGGTCTTAAGTTTGATTTTGTTGGATTCAGGTGCATCTACTCTGGGTTAGATTTTGGTTTGCTTATGTAGGCTACCAAGGCATCAGAGCCAACTCAGTCAAATGGCCTCCTTGTTTAATTACTTTAACATTTGTGATTATAGATGCAAAAATTCCAAATAAAAGGACTGATTTCAACAATGTAGTATGAAATTTGCACAATGAATTATGTCAAAAGATTTCCTAATGTTGGAAAAACATTAAGAAATCCAGTGACAAGATGCATTGCGTGAACTGGTGCAGCCACTATGGAAAACAGTATGGAGATTCCTCAAAAAATTAAGAATAGAACTACCATATGATCCAGCTATTCCACTGCTGGGTATTTAGCCAAAGAACATGAAAAACTAAATGTGTAAAGGTACATGCACCCCTATGTTCATTGCAGCATTATTCACAATAGCCAAGACTTGGAAGCAACCTAGGTGTCCAAGGGACGAATGGATAAAGAAGATGTGGTATATATACACAATGGAATACTTCTCAGCCATAAAAAAGGATGAAATCTGGCCATTTGTGACAACATGGATGGAACTTGAAGGTATTATGCCAAGTGAAATAAGTCAGAGGGAGAAAGTCAAATATATGATCTCACTCATAAATAGAAGGTAAAAACCACAGCAAACATGGTGCCGGCCCAGTGGCGCAGCAGTTAAGTTCGCACATTCCGCTTCAGTGGCCACGGGGTCTACCTGCCAAGATCCCGGGTGCAGACATGGCACCGCTCATCAAGCCATGCTGTGGCAGGCATCCCACATATAAAGTAGAGGAAGATGGGCACAGATGTTAGCTCAGGGCCAGTCTTCCTCAGCAAAAAGAGGAGGATTGGCAGCAGATGTTAGCTCAGGGCTGATCTTCCTCAAACAACAGCAACAAACAAACACACAGAGACAGAGATTGGATTGGTGGTTACCAGAGGGGAAGGGGGAGGGAGGAGGGTGAAAGGGGTGATTAGGCACATGTGCGTGGTGATGGATTGAAATTAGTCTTTGGGTGGTGAACATGACGTAATCTACACAAGAATCAAAAATAATGATGTACACCCAAAATTTATATAATGTTATAAACCAATGTTACCACAATAAAAAATAAATAAAAATGAGAATTTGGGATTGCTTTTCAGACCTAGAAATAAACATAACCCTAGATGAAAAAAAATATGTTGCATGAACAAAATAAAAGAGATAAAAGAAATACATATATCAAATGATGCCAATAAGATAATGTGGTAGAGTAATGTTCCTTCTCCCTCAAGATGTCCAATTTCTAAGCCCCAGAACCTGCGTATGACTATTTTATCTTATATGGCAAAAGAGACTTTTCCAGATATGCTTAAATTAAGGATCTGTTGAGATGAGACGATTATCCTGGATTATCTGACAGGGTGCAATGTAATCACAAGGGTCCTTGTAAGAGGAAGGCAGGAAGGTCAGAGTCAGAGAGATGTGAAGACAGAAGGAGAGGTTGGAATGATGTGCTCTGAAGGTGGAGTAAGGGGCCATGAGCCAAGGGATACAGGCAGCTTCCGGAAGCTGGAAAAGGCAAGGAAACAGATTCTCCCCAAGAGCCTACAGAAGGAATGCAGCTCTGCCAACACCTTGATTTTAACCCATAAGATCCACTTCAGACTTCTGACTCCAATGTCTGGATGAGGAAATCTTTCCTCAGAGCAGGGGGAGGATGGAATGCCCTGCCATTCATCAGAAATCCATGTCCTTGATTAAGTTAGTCATTCTGCCTTACTCCCTGAGATACTACCCCCCTAACCCCCATCCCCGGCCCCAACCAGAATATTCTGCTTTCCTTCTCCTGAAGCTTCTCTTACAGAAACAAATTGAGGAACTGGTTCCCTAGTTCTCCTGTTCTGGTGGGGTCTTTGGGTACATCCGCAAGCGGCTCAGTGCTCTCCCACATTTATTTCTCCCATATGATAGAGTGGAGTCACCTAATAGGCACATTTTCTTCAATTGTTTATTTCGAAAATTTTTGAATCTCTAAAAGCGTTGAAAGAATAGTACAAAGAACCCTTATGCATGCCTATCTCCTGGATTCACCAACTAACAACTTGCCACTTTTGATAATCTCTCTCTACCATTTGAAAATAAATTCAAGTATCATGATACTTCACTAGTCAATATGTCATCACGTATCTCCTAAAAACAAGGACATTTTCTTCTACACAGAGTCTTACACATACATCACCACACACAAAAGTGTCTCACTCATATCAGTAAACACAGTAATACATCCCACATACTTCTAACCACACATCACGATCAGACCCAAGGAAATTAATAATTCCACAACTCACTCATATTCAAATTTCCTCCAAATGTCCCAAAAATGTCTTATATAGGTTTTTCTTTAAGCAGGACACAAAGTTCATGCATTGCATTTGATGCTATGTCTCTTTAGGCTCTTAATCTGGAACAGTCCCTCCACCTTTTTGTTTTCTCTAGACATTGATTTTTTTAAGAATCTAAGTTAGTTGTTCAACAGAATGTCTTATAGTCTGGATTTGTCTGTTTATTTTCTCATGGTAAAATCCAGGTTAAACAAGTTAGCAAGGGTACTACATAGACAAGGTTGTGTCCTCTTGTATCACACGAGGAGAAACATGAGGTCAGGTCATTTCACTATTGGTGATGCTAAACTTGATCACTTAGTTAAAGTGGTAATGGCCAGATATTTCCATTGTAAAGTGATATTTTTTCCTTTCTAATTGGTAAGTAACCTGAGGGCTGATAACTTAGGACTGAGTCTCCGATTTGCCAATAATCATATGCACATTTAATATAAGGTGTGTGTTACTTTTGCACATAAATTAATATATATGTGTTACTCTTTTGTATAAATATGAATCATGAAATTATATTTAGTATATGGGCCTTTTATTATATATGCATGTTAATGATGTACGGTTAACACATATATATATATACACACATTATTCTTCAGTGTTGGATAATCAATCCATGTTTTATGCTTTGTGAACCACTTACGATATTTTATAGGATGATTTGGAATACAACCAATTTTTTATTTTGTTCCTGACTTTTGAATTTAACTTCCATAAAAATATGACATTACTATAAACAGGTATTCATTTTCAAGTTGCTGAGCTTCTCCGTCATGCCCAATGTTCTTATAGGAGGACTGATGGGCAGAAACACGTATCTTGGAGAAAAAGATGAGAGTGTTTATTGTGGAGCTTATAATCTGTCAAGGAGGCAGAAGGCAAACTGTCCTACCTTATGAGACTTTTAGGAGTTGGGTATCCTGGAGAAATTAATGACGGTGGGCTTTTGCCAAAAATGGATGAGAAGCTTTTTGTATCAGCACCCAATTCCTATAGTCAGTTTGTACTAGTTTGGGTTCAGTCAGGAAACAGAAACTGCACCAGAATTTAAACAGAAGTTTAATATAAAGAATTATTAAGCAATGATGAGAGTAACTATAAAGACATCAAAGAACCCTTAGGGTACTTTTGCCATAAGCAAGTATCTTTGCCATAGACATCTTTGCCACAAGCATTTTTGCTGTGAACATTTTCACTGTATAACTAATTGGTCGTAAGGCAATTTTGCCATAAAAGATAAAATAACTGGGTAACAGTTTGGTTTGACAATTTGGTTTCAACTGCTTGACAGTGTGGTTTCATTTCTCCATTGACACAATACTCTCATTTTTATATTAAATAAATCTTAGCTTTGCATTTCCCATAGAACTCTGGAACATCTATCCACAGACATGAGCCAAGAACAAAGAACAGTGTAGAAGGCTTTTCACAATGCAATACAAAGCTCAGTTACAAATATGCATCCTAGTATTTGGAAACTGATATCTCTCTTAATGAAGGAAGAAGTTTTAGCAAAAAAGAAAAAGTGTGATGGATGCCAAATGAGGAAATGAATCAACAAGCAAAAAAATATATATATTGTGAATGAAAGACTTTGCAGACAAGTGCTTAGGTACAACCCACAAAATAAAATCAGTTATTTGCTCATTATTGCCATGAATCTACACATATTTTAAATGTATTCAAATATTTTGTATTTTGCAATGTCTTTTTAATTTTATTATTCATTTTTCATGTTTTATTATATCCTTTTTAATATCCCTCTTTTATTATTCATTATTTCATCTTTGATAACAAAATTGCCTTATGGCCAATTAGTTATGCAGTGAAAATGTCTGCAGTGAAAACACATGCAGGAAAGATGTCTATGGCAAAGATGCTTACGGTGAAAATACCAGACACGGGCTGAGGGAGAGTACCTAAAGAAGGACAAAGTTGGAAGGAGGGTCCCTCCCAGAGGCTGGGTTTCAGACCTCAGTAGAGATGTAGTTACATCCCACTGGATGGCAGAGAAGTTTGCTGGGTTGCCAAGTACTCAGTGTGGGAGTGGCACCGCAGGCACGAGGGTGAGATGCAGGGTATCCACATCAGAAGGGCTGCAGGAAATAGCCTTCCATGGCACATGCAAGCCAAAGCTGATGGGCAGGTATACAGAGAGAGTTGCGATTCCACTATGTGTGTGAGTGTCTCATCAGGAGGGCCTCAGCAAGGTGGTCACTGAGCCCAGGCCAGATTGGCAAGATCTCCGAGAGACTGCATGCTCTGGAGCACAGCTGGTGCTGAGCATCATTGAATGTTTTCACATACACACACCCCATGGACCACAAAGCAAGAGCAAGAAAAAGCAAAATGCAGCAGCCAGAACCAGGAAGAGAAGCCCCTTCCTCCTCCAGCGCCCTCTACTGACAACGTTTCACATCATACTCACTGTAAAGAGGAAAGGCTTGAAGAATCCAGTCCATTTTCACAGAGCAGGTATTGAAGAGTAAATTTGGAGCTGAGAGGCAATAAATTGATAACCGCACATTGTCAACTGCTTTGGCTACTCAGTTTCTGCATACTTTTCTACACACTTTTGAGCTCCCGTACAGCAACAAAACAACTCTGCATTTCTACCTAGCAAGGTACCAGCTATCCAAATGTGAAAATGCACAGTCCCAACAGTTGGCTATATTAGTTATTAATTAATTTATTTATGGCTACATTAATTACTTCTCAAATTCGGTTACAATCCTACAGAATATTCTGTTGCCTAAAGAGTAAATTGTAAAGTTAACCTCCAACAACTTGCATATAAAATAAAAATGAGGAAAGAGAAGAAAAAGGATGTTAGAATAAACAAATAAATACATATAACCAGCAAAGAGAAAATATGCAAAGCTACTACAGTCCTCATGTCTGTAATTGGATATGAGGCCATAGTTGATGTTTGTGATTTGCATCTTCAACGACCCTTTCTGTATTTCCATTGCCTTCAGTGACAGCCTCAGATGCTCTAGGTTCTCTACCTGGTAGAGTAACCCAAACACTCATTCCTGAAGATTCTGAGTCCTCGATCATGTTTTTCTTTTTATTGCTGTCATTTTCCCATTAACCTTTACTATTGGGCAGAGAAGTACTAAGAGGAATGCCAGAGAATCTCCTGGGTTTCAGACATAGCCCTCCTACCTCAATTGTATAGCAGTAACCTGATCCTCCTTGGTAATTAGGATCAATCAGTCCATCCAGTAGCTTAACTTTTTTTTCCTCTTAGGTCAGTGTTACAAGGAGCCCAAAATGTTCAAGAAAGAAGTCTCATCTTCCAATTCAGTACGACCATTGCCACCGGTATGTCCCCCAGTGGAAACATTGCCCCCTTGGGGACTAATATGTCCATAGCAGCAAAGCTCAAATTCTGTGAGTCTGCTATTAGGTGTTATAGTGAGAGAAGCCACTCCCACTTCACCCCTTCATTCCTGGAGCATGTATTAGGGTGTGGGAGAGGCCATAATGGTCTCTGATTCAAATATATTCTGCATCCTGTAAGACAGAATTCCAGCCTTTCAGGGTGATATCTCCAACCGGCACTGTAACTGAATTTTCAGTGAGTCATTCCACCTTTCAGTGGGGCCAGCTGATTCCAGGTAGCAAAACATGGGGTAAGAAAGTTAATTCCATGGGCGTGCATGCATTGCCGTACTTCCTTTGCTGTGAAATGAGTTTTTTGTTCAGACAAAAGGCTGTGTGGGATGCCAAGATGGTGGATAAAGCATTCTGTGAGTCCGTGGTTGGTGATGCTGGCAGAAACATCACAGGCAGGGAAAGAAAACCTAAGATAATATGTGTCTGTACTTGTGAGGATGAATCTCTGTCCCATCCATGATGGAAAAGGTCCAATGTAATCGACCTTCTGCCACATGGCCGGCTGGTCCTCACAGGGAATGGTGCCATATCGGGGACTCAAGGTTGGTCTCTGCTGTTGGCAAAAATTAAGGGCAAGTACTGTGCTAGCTGATTGTATCCCTTTATGAAGAAAGCAAATACTTTCAAACACCCCTCACCCACGAATATTTCTGCTTATATCTGATGGCCAGATTCATGACACGTGGTCTTCTTTAGTTACAAGGTAGGCTGGGAAATAAAATATTGAATTCCTCCAACATATATAATGGAAATCAGCAAAGAAAAAGTGGGCTGAGGCTGTCTGTTGTGTCTGTCAAACATCAGTGTCTAACACAAGTACCCACAACCAGAGAATTGGTTTCTTGTAGGAAAGATACAAACTTGATTCCCAGAGTGAAGATTCCAGGTAAAGAGACAATGTTTCTGAGCTTAAGACATGGGCAGAAATCACATTTAGAACTAAAGATACCTGCAAATCAGATTCTTTGGAGGGAAGTAAAAGGACAAGGCCTCAGGAACAAAAATCACTCCTGCGAGGAACCCCTGGCAAAACCTGTGAGGAAGGGCCAAAGTAAGACTTCCTGGAGGGGCAGAGGCTGGCAATACTTTAAATGGAGCATTTCTTACCAGGGAAAAAGAAAGAGGGTAGATGCTGGGGCCTGTGGACAAAGGTGAGGGTGACGGGTGGGGGTTGGATAGCACAGGAGAGAGTTCCTACTCCACAACTTAAATAGCTCATTTGTCACTGAAACTTTGAAAAATGTTATACATGACGTTCATTCAGACTGTGTGTATAGACATAGTATGGAGAATTATTTCCCTTATATTTTGTTTGGTTATGATTATGGATAAAAAGTTAATAGTAATAGTGTAATAGTAATTCTGTATATCATTCACCCCTATGCACTTGTTAACGAACAATGTGAACAGTTTTTTATATTATTTTTTTCTCTGTTATGCTTCTTCTGGTTATATTTATGAAAATCTAATTTTATGTCTGTTGAAACTAAAAATAAAATGGGGCTTGTGTCTTGTATGTCTTTTTCTTATTTTTCAAGCAATTTGTGTTTATATATTTTCCAAAAAGTCTTGGTTCAAAACAGATTGCAAATTTTTATAAAGGAAAGAAAAAAAATTGTCTTTCACCACAGTTTGAGAAGCACTACTTTAAAAAAAAAAAAGATTTTATTTTTTTCCTTTTTCTCCCCAAAGCCCCCAGGTACATAGTTGTGTATTCTTAGTTGTGGGTCCTTCTAGTTGTGGTATGTGGGACACTGCTTCAACATGGCTCGATGAGTGCCATGTCCACACCCAGGATTTGAACCGATGACGAAACCCTGGGCCACCTGCAGCAGAGCACACAAACTTAACCACTCAGCCACGGGGCTGGCCCTGAGAAGCACTACTTTACAAAACAAATGATGGGATGGGATGTTTACTTGGTCTTCCTTGAAGAAATAGCTAAATGGTTTTCTGTATTCTAATTGATATGACCGAAGACTCCCAAGAAAATAGGAGCACATTTACCTCCTTAATGAAAATTTCAAGCCCAGCAGTAATCTCCCTCCCATAGTACTTGAATGCCCCCACTCAACTAAGGACTGGACCAGTGTCCTAACTAAGAGAGTGCAAAAGAAAAATTCTTTTATTCAGAGGTGCCCCACTTCCACCTTGAACACTAGGGGCATCAGCCATCCCGGGGGACATGTCTTATTGCCTTCTGCTGTAAACCTGTTGTGTTCACCTTCACTTCATCATTTTGATTTAAAGATCAGACCAGTTCAGTTGCCTCATATTTCAGATAATACTTATAATTTATTCCCTAGCCTCAGTATTTGTCCCTTTAAGCAACTCCTAGACATAGCAGAAATCATACTTGCATGTTAGACACGAGGAGACCTTAGAAAGCTATTGTCCAACATGCAACAAGAAAGAAAAACTTCACCAAGGTTGAGGCTAATACAGCAAATTTGTATGTGACTTGGGCCTCCCTAATACATGCAGAGGTATCACCAGTAGTAAGAAACGACTTTGGAATGGGGCTCCAGTCATAGTAGAGCTGTCCGCCAAGCTCATTTAACAGAGGCTGTTGGGAGTATTACGTAAAATGGTGCTCAGGTTGTTCTCCATTGTTAAATTTAGCTAGAGGATACATAGCAGCTGGTTATCCAAAACAGCCTCTAATTATGCCTCAGAAACAGCTGCTGAAGCAGTGGCTTAGCTTTTACACTGGCACTCTGCCAAAAGCCTGGTACAGCTGACGCTCATCTGTATTTATTGGTGTACAAGACTATCAGTATAAATTGCCACTGTGGCTAATTTTCCATGGCTTGCCAAGCTAAGAAAAATGAAACTACTGAGGCTGAATTAATAGCATCAAAAATTAAGAACTTTCATAAACATATACCCTCTATAGGACCCAGCCAATCCACTCCAAGGTATTTGTCCAAGAGAAATGAAAACATAGCTCCATACGAAGACTTGTACACAAATATTCATGGGAGCTTTGTGTGTAAGAGCCCCAAACTGGAAACAATCCAACTATCCACCAGCAGGTGATTGGATAGACAAATTGTGGTACCCTTAGTCAGCAATAAAAAGAAACAAACTAATACTATACACAACAACATGGATGAATCTCACAATATCTGAGCAAATGAAGGCAGATACCAAAGACTTATATGAAGTTCTAAAACAAGCAAAACTAATCTATGGAGATGGAAGTCAGCAGAGTGATTATCTCAGAAGTGGGTGGTGGTTACTGTCTGGGAAGGAGGCAAGGGAACATTCTGAGGGAATGGAGAAATCGATTTCTTGATCAGGGTGGAGGATACACAATTATATACAAATGATGCATACTTAAGATTTTTATATTTTACTGTATGTAAATTTTACCTCAGTTTTTAAAAAGAGAAACAGTAAAAAAACCTTTTGTCATTAATGAAGTGGGTGGGGAAGTTTTAGTGACATGAGTCAGGGATAGAGTAAAGGAAAGAAGTAATGGTGGGCAAACAGCCTGATACATAGGGACTAACCAAGGCCCTAATAATATTTCAGACCTATGTACAGGCTTTAAAATATGAGAACTACAATATGAACATTACCATTTATAATCAATCTAAAATTCCATTTGGCAGGTTTATACTAATACAATTTTATATAGATATGTAAAAATACTTTTAACGTAGGCTGTATGTTTTTTTACTGCATTTATTTGATTTTAAGTGCTCTGAAGACTTCATAAGTCCTTAAAGTTGATTTCAATCTTAAAATAGCACTGACCCTTCCTTCACTTGCTGTCTCCCCTCTCTGTTCTGTCTCCCTCATTTGCACAATTCTGAGTTGGAAATAATGTACCCCAAGAGTCTGGGCCTCTGCCTTCCACATTTCAACTTGGTTCAGCACACCCAGTCCCCACTCAACTCCTCGTGAAAGGACTTGTCACCAGGCCCAGTGAAGATCAATAGGACGTGGGATTTTCTTACTAGAGATCTTGAACCCATTCTCCCTGGTCTACAGGCCTCAAAACCATCAAATTTTCCCAGAAACAAAACTAACCAAAATCTATGTTGCCTTTGGGCAAAGTTTGAGGACATTTACACTAAATCCAAAGAGAAAGCCCAATGTAATGTGATTAAATAAAGCATGTATCCATCCTTCTTACTTTAGCAAAACCCTACACACCCTACCTAGTAATGCTTGGGACACGGTCCATACAGAAATGGAGACTTCCAACTAACCCTTTGAAAATCATAGGACAGCTAACTGTACACTTTCATTAGAATTTCATCTGAAAACTTTGACGTTTTAAATTATTATTTTTATTCTTTTTGTTTTGTTTTGAGGAAGCTTAGCCCTGAGTTAACATCTGCCACCAATCCTCCTCTTTTTGCTGAGGAAGGCTGGCCCTGAGCTAACATCCGTCCCCATCTTCCTCTACTTTATACTTGGGATGCCTACCACAGCATGGCTTTTTGCCAAGCGGTGCCATGTCTGCACTCGGGATCCGAACTGCCGAACCCCAGGCCGCCGAGAAGCGGAACATGCAAACTTAACTGCTGCGCCACCAGGCCAGCCCCTCTCCTTACAGTTTTATCAGTGATTTTTATTGTGATAAAATTCACATACATAAAACTTACCATTTGAACGATTTAAAAGTGTACAATTCAGTGGCATTTAGTACCTTCAGAGCGGTGTGCAATCATCGCCACCACCTAGTTCCAGAAATTTTTCATCACCCCAAATGGAAACCCCATGTCCATTAGGCAGTCACTCCCCATTCCCTCATCCCCAGTGTCCCTGGCAGCCACAAATCTGCCTTCTGTCTCTAAGGATTTGTCTATTCTGGAAAATTCATATAAATGGAATAATCATACAATAGGTGGCCTTTTGTTTCTGGCTTCTTTCACTTAGCATAATGTTTTTGAGGCTCATCCATGTTGTAACAAGTATCAGTCTTCATGCCTTTCATGGCCAAATAACAGTCTATCTTATGGATATAGCATATTTTATTTATCCATTCATGTGTCGGTGGACATTTTCATTGTTTCCATTTTTGGCTATTATCAATATAGTTCAGTTTTTGCCTCATGTATTTTGACACTCTGCTCATAGGTGCATACACTTTAAGGATTCTTGTGACTTCTTGGGGAATTGACTCCTTTATCATTATGTAATGTCTTCTTTTCCCTTTGTAATTTTCCTTGTTCTGAAATAAGTTTTGTCTGTAATTAATATAGCTACTCCTATTTTATTTTGATTAAGCCTGGTATATATTTTTCCACCCCTTTACTTTTAACTTATTTGCGGCTTTATATTTAAAAATGGATTTCTTGTAGACAACACAAAGTTGAGTCTTTTTTAAAAACCCACTCTGACAGCCTTTCTCTTAATCAGTGTATTTAGATGATTTACATTTAAAGTGATTATTGATAGAGTTGGATTAATATTACTGTTAATGTACTGTCAATATTACTATTAATGTAATGGTTTTCTATTCACTGTATTTGTTCTTTGTTTTCTTTTTTCTCTTCTCCTTTTCTGCTTTCTCTGGTTTTGAGTATTTTCTATTATTCCATTTTCTCTTTTCTCATAGCATATAAATTATAGTTTTAAAAAAATTTTTAGTGGTTGCCCTAGAGTTTGAATCGTACATTTGCAACTAATCTAAGTCCACTTTCAAATAAGAGTATACTGCTTACAGGTAGTGCAGAGTATTCCCAATTCTTCTCTCCCATCCCTTATAACACTGCTGCCATTGATTTCACTTATCCATACGCTGTAATAATTCAACACATTACTATTATTACTTTTAAAAGATATCTATTAGGTCAACAAACAGTAGGAAAAATGAAAGATTTTATTTTACCTTCATTTATTCCTGCTCTGACAATCTTCCTTCCTTTCGCTTCTGACCTATACCATTTTCCTTCTCTCAAAAGAACTTCTCTTAACATTTCTCGCAAGACAGACCTCCTGGCAACAAATTCTTTCCATTTTTGTTTCTCTGAGAAAGGTTTTATTTCTCCTTCATTTTGAGGGGTGATTTCACTGGATGTAGAATTCTAGTCTTTTCCCCCAACACTTTAAATATTTCACTCCACTGTCTTCTTGCTTACATGGTTTCTGAAGAAAGAAAGAATTACATTGATATCCTTGTTCCTCTATAGTAATGTGTCCCACCCTCCCACCCCTGCCTTCTTTCAAGATTCTCTCTGTCTTAGGTTATCTCCAGTGTCAGTATGATATGCGTAGGTGTAGATCTTTTGGTATTTCACCTGCTTGGTGTTCCCTGAGGCTCCTGGCTCTGTGGTTTGGTGTTATTAATTTTGGAAAACTCTCAGCCATTATTACTTCAAATATTTCTTCTGCTCCTTTATCTCTTTCTTCTCCTTCTGGTATTCCAATTACATGTATATTACACCTTTTGTAATTATCTCACAGTTCTAGGATATTCTGTTCTGTTTTTTTTTTCTCCTGTTTTTCTTTACATTTCAGTTTGGCAAGTTCCTATTGACATATCTCCAAGCTTACTGACTCTTTGACCACTTTCAGTCTACGGATGAGCCTATCAAAGGTGTAGCCAATCAAAGGTGTTCTTTATTTGTTTTTGATTCCTAGCATTTTCTTTTGATGTTTTGTTAGCATTTCCATCTCTTTGCTTATATTACCCATCTGTCTTGCATATTGTCTACATTTTCCATTTAAGTCCTTCAACATATTAATCAAATTATTTTGAATTTCCTATCCAATAATTCCAAAATCTGTGTAATATCTGAGCCTGGTTCTAATGCTTGCCTTGTCTCTTCAACCTGTTTTTTCTTGCTTTTTAGTGTAACTTGTAATTCTTGAAAGCTGGATATGATGCATCGGGTAATAAAAACTGAAGTTAACAGGCCTTAGTGTGAGATTTTATGTTGATCTGGCCAGTAGATGGACTATGCTTAATGTTTGCTACAGCTATAGGGGCCAGAGGCTTCAGTTTCCTCTAGACAACTTGTTTTTCCCCCCTGTTGTCTTTGGGATTCCCTAAGACCTCCTTCTTAGAGTCTGTGTCTTGTAGCTCTTGTAGTTGCAACCCACTATTATTATACAGGAACCCTACTGACGTCATGATAAGGTGTAGGGGAGGGGAAGCATTCTATAATCTTATAGCCAAATCTCATCTTTGAGTGGGTCTGAGTCCCTGGGATGTGACCTTCAGTATTTCTCAGGCTTTTTTCTCTTCTTCCCTTTGGTGAGACAGGAAGCCTAGAGGGGGCTGGCACTGGCTAATTGCCCTTCCCTCAAGGAGAAAAGGCTCTGGTAATACCATTTGCCGAGGAGAATGGCCTTTGTTATAGAGAACATTCTGATTGTATTTCAAAATGTTACTTTGCCTCTTCCCCTGCCCAAAAAATGGGGGGGAGGGTTGTCTAAAATCTTCACCCTGAGAATCTGGTGGGGTTCCTAGAGGTAAAACCCATGAAAGAAGGGAGTGTGTAAGGCTGGGCCCCCAGAGTTTTTCATACTCAAACTAATCCATACTTACCCTTCAGCAATTCATCAAAATTATCATTTAAGTGATCCTAACAGTTTATGGCTCCAGTGGCTTTTGCTCCAAGTAAACTGATCTTGGTTGTTATCACCCACATTTTTCCATCTCTCCACAATTCAGGGTGGCGGCTTTCCCTGTGACCTCAATTCTCTGATAGGTTTAAGAAAAGTCATTCATTTTCAGTTTGTTCAGTTTTTTCTCTTGTTGTAAGGACAGAAGCGATGGCTTCTAAGCTCCTGAAATGTCAGAGCTGAAAACAGAAGCCCTAGATTTTTAAACAGGTATTCAAAGTTTAAGTTCTAAATGTCATTATAATATTTCCTCAAAAGCAATGGTTCAATATTCATTTACTTGCTTCATCACCAGTGCTGGATGTCATAACTCTTGGTAATTTCCCAGCTAGCTCTGCAGCTACGTCTGTCCACGTTAGTAAGTGCTAGCCAGGAGCACGTGACAGAAGGTACTGTGTGCAACCTCAGATTCCTGTTCTTAAAGTAAACTGATGTGCCTCTTTGCCCCCTCCTCCACTTGGCTCCTTGGGATGTGAATGTGATGGTGTGCCATCTTGGGCTGGGTGAATAAGGTCACCATCCTCAGGGTGATGGAAAACAAGAAAGAAGATCTACACCAGTCCTGTACTACCTAACTGCAGACTACTAAATGTGAGGATAGAAAAATCAGTTACCTTATTTTTTTTAAAGGTATACTTTTTGGTGAGGAATATTGACCTTGAGCTAACAACTGTTGCCAATCTTCCTCTTTTTTTTTTTCTCCCCAAAGCCCCAGCACATAGTTTATATCCTAGTTGTAAGTCATTCTAGTTCTTCTGTGTGGGATGCCAGCACTGCATGTCTTGATGAATGGTGTGTAGGTTCATGCCTAGGACCTGGGCTGGTGAACCCTGGGGGCCGAAGAAGAGCACACAAACTTAACCACTTGGCCTTGGGGCTGGCCCAAGTTTTTATCTTGTTTTAAGGAACAATTATTTCAGGTCTCTTACAGCTTACTAAATCTGAATCTCAAAACATTAGGCCTATCTGTAACAATAAAGGGACTTGAAATAATTTAAATCAAACCCACACCAATCTCTTGAATTATATGCCACTGTTTTCCAGTATTTTCACTGTCTATATATATATATATATATATATATATATATATATACATTTTTTTAGTGAGGAAGATTGGCCCTAAGCTAACATCTGTTGCCAATCTTCCCCTTTTTGCTTGAGGAAGATTGTTGCTGAACTAACATCTGTGTCAATCATCTTCTATTTTGTATGTGCCTGTCTTCCTCTATTTTGCCGCCACAACATGGCTTGATGAGTGGCATGTAGATCTGTGCCTGGGATCTGAAGCTGGGAACCCTGGGCTGCTGATGTGGAGTACGAACTTAACTACTACACCACCAGACCGGCCCTTTCATTGTCTTTTTAAATGCTGTCAGTCATTTCTGCTATTTTGTTCCACTGTCAATACTGTTTTCTACTTACACACATTTTAGCATTTTCTTTGTTCATCATTCCTTCTTGTTTCTCAAATCCTCCATCTGGGACCACTTATATTATTAAAAGCATGCCAATACCTCTCCTCAGCCCTCCAAGCTACACACCTCTTTAGTCCATGACAATGAGTTTTGAAGAGACTAGGCAATACACAGGTGAGGCACAGCTGAAAGAAAACTGAATCCACTGGGATAGAATGCATACACCCTAGCATAGGAGCACAGGATCATGGAAAATACTGAAGAGACAGCACAAGCACGGAGAAGAGAAAGATCACGTCGGACACCTGGAGGATTGGGATATAGCAAAAAAAGATGGAGAGAGTGTGTTTCTGAGACAGTATTTGGAGATTCCCAGACTGACCATGACCCCAAGCCATGCTGTGGACTGCAAGAAGACCCCCAGAGGGGTCATGATCAAGAATATCCTATCCAGGAGCCTGCCCGGTGGTGCAGTGCTTAAGTTCGTGCATTCTGCTTGGGTGGCCTGGGGTTTGCTGGTTTGGATCCTGGGTGTGAACCTACATACCGCTTGTCAAGCCATGCTGTGGCAGGTGTCCCACATATAAAGTAGAGGAAGATGAGCACGGATGTTAGCTGAGGGGCAGTCTTCCTCAGCAAAAAGAGGAAGATTGGCAGCAGATGTTAGCTCAGGGCTAATCTTCCTCAAAAACACCCACAAAAGACAAAAAACAAAACAAAACAAAACAATATCCCATCCAGGGCCACAAGAGCCAACCCAAGGTCTGAGAAGCTTGCAGACAAGGCAAAAAAGAAAAATAAGAAAACACAGAAAGAGAGACAGGGAGAAAGAACATCTTCCAAGGAATAACTTTTGTTCCCACCACACCTGGGGGACCAACTTCCCAGTCATAACAGCAGAAGCCAGATGAAGTGATGGGAGGCCAAAACAGACAGCTCAGCTGGCAGTGGGGCAGTGGTGAACTGGCCACAAATTCTGCAGTTGAGTTGATTCTGCCGTCCCCAAGCCACTCTCCCCCTCTTGATAATGGCCCTAGGGTTAGGTCATATTCTAGCACAGAGGGTGAGGAGGGGGGGCATTAGAGTCATAAGCACCTTCTCTGATCTCTTTCCGCATTTTTCCTCTAAGTCTAAAATAAGGCCTTGTGTTATTGAATTTGGAAAAATGTCTCTCAGGATGGAGAAGGGCTTCCTGCAACTGCTGGTCCAAGCTGGGAACACCTTAAGAAAACCCAGGAGAGACTTCACGGAAGAAAACAAAAATTCACAGCCATGCAGCAAAATACAGCAACACAGTCACAAGGTCACTGGGAGGAATGAGGACGGCAGGGTGCCCAGGCCCAGCGGGCAAGCCTCATCCCTCCACTGGGACAGGCGGCTCCCTGGGCTCGGCCTGTGGTTCCAGGTGCTGAAGCCCCTGAGCCAGCAAAGCCATCCAGAAGTGCACAGGCAGTCCCCTCTTGGGCTCACAGGGCAGACCCCTTGGAGGGTGTGGCAGTCAGTCCCAGGCACAGCCTCTGGGCCAACTTGAGGAAGAGATCCCACCACCTGGCTCCGGATGCTGCTTTCTCAGCCAGGCCCCTGCCCAGCCTTCCCCGACTCTTGGGATCCCCAACCACCCATTCATCTTTCTGTCTACGTTTCTTTTCTTTGTTTTACCTAACTTCCTTCCTTCTTTTTTTACCTTCCTATCCTCCTTCCTTTATTCCTTCCTTACTGACTTCCTTCTTTCCTTCTCTCCATCCAAATGTCTGAATGAACCACTGGAAAACATGGGGCCACAGCAACCTCAGGAAAGCACCAGCCACAGCCTGTGCTTGCGCCTTGCCACACAAGAGGGCGAACCAGCTCGCTAGGAGCCTCCTAGTCACATTGCTTAGCAATGTGGGTAGTCATGGCTGGTGATTGGCCGGCTTCAACAGTAGGAAGCTGGGCTCCCAGAGGGAGTGGGCAATGGTAGGGGAGAGAAGGAAGGACAGGAGAGGGGGGCAGGTGGGGAGGGTACCTCCACCTTCATCTCTTCAGGTTCCAGAGATCCCAGATGACTGGGTGGCTGCCTCTACCACCACCATAATCTCAACCACTGCCCCCTGCCACCCTAGCTTCCACCCCAATTGCCACCATCACTGCCAGCCAGCCCACCTGGTGGCATCCTTACTGGGTGGTGAGACACGGGCACACCGGACCCCTTTGTGGACCTGAATCTGGACCGCTGTGGGTGGAAATGGGGTCAGATAACGGGCAGGAGGGATTTCACGAAATCCGGTGAGGCAGGGGCCATGAAGATGCCCCAAGTCTCACTCCAAGTATGGTCGGGTCAACTGCAAATCTACTGACCCTGGGACCAATGCCTCCCCTACACGTGGGCAGAGGAGGCCCATGCCCTGGTGTGACAGCCCAGGAGTCCCTGCCTCTCCCAGTGCCTACCAGGAATGTGTTGAACACACCATTTCCCCTACCCCCACCGCCTTTCGCCCCACCTGAAAACCATTACCTTCCCTCAGATAGTACCTGGGCGTGATTGTCGAGGACCTGGACATGGAGACCCAGCCAAGGCATAGACTGTTGCTGGGCACTTAGCCCGCTGAGGAACTTCTCTGTGTCAGGCCTTTGTCACCTCCACAGTGGGGATAATCCTAAAAGGGCTCTAGGCATTCTCAATGGAACCACGCTGAAGAAGGAGCAGTTTCTTCTAGGCCCGTGTGATTGTCAGTAAGAGATTTCTGAAGTGCTTTCCAGGCTCAGGCCCCTCCCATCGTGTTCCAAGTTCTGGTGATGGCAGCACCCCACCTCTGGGGACGCCAGCCAGAAGGCATCAGAACCCAAAGGGAAAAGTGGTGCATTTTCCTTGATGTGAATTGTGCCAAAAGATAGGTTCATGGAAAGGAACATGGGAGATACCAGCATCCACAAAAGACACAAGTGATTAAGTCACAGAAGGGAAATGCTCAGTCCAGAAAGAGAAGAGAGTCTCTCTACAGAGTTTAAAAACCAAACCAAACGAATAAAGGAAATGGAGAAGAGGTAGAGCCGTGACTTAAGAAGAATGGAAGCCACAGTCTGGGCGGAAGGGTTGAAGAACAGGAGAGACATCGCTGAAGGAAAAGTGAACCCACAGGGATAGAACGTGGGCAGCCAAGCGAGGAGCACAGGACCATGGGAAAGAGTGAAGAGCCAACACAAGCACAAAGGACAGAAAGATCGCAACGGATTCTTGTAGCATTGGGATGCAGCAAGACAAGATGGAGAGAGTGTGTTTCCAAGGCAATACTTGGAGATTCCTAGACTGACCATGAGCCCAGCCATGTTTTGGACCACAAGAAGAACCCCAAGAGGGGTCACGGTCAAGAAAATCCTATCCTGGGGGACAGCCCCCTGGCCAAGTGGTTAAGTTCGCCCGCTCCACTTAGGTGGCCCAGGGTTTCCTGGTTCAGATCCTGGGCGCGGACATGGCACCACTCATCAAGCCATGCTGAGGCGGCATCCCACATGCCACAACTAGAAGGACCTGCAACTAAGATATACAACTATGTACCCGGGGGCTTTGGGGAGAGAAAGGAAAAATAAAATCTTGAAAAAAAAAAAAAGAAAAGAATATTCTATCCAGGACCTCAAGAGGAAGTGTGTAGAGCACCCACCCAAGGTCTGAGTAAGCTGAAGACAGGGCCAACAAAGTAAAAGAAAAAAAAAGACAAAGAAAGAGGGCTTTCCAAGGAAAAACCCTGGTCCCGAAGAACACCACCCCCCCCTTGGCCAACCATGCCCCCGGCTCCCGGGGTTGGACTCCCCAGGAAAAAGAGTGGAAGCCAGAAGATGAAGTGCTGGTATGCCAAAATACACCGCTCAACTGGCAATGAGTCAGTGGCGAGTTGGCCATAAAGTCTGCAGTGGAGTCGGTCCTGTTCTCCCAAACAACTCTCCTCTTCTTGATCATGAGCACTGGGGGCAGGGGGGTGGAAGGGTGGTCCTGTTAGAGGCCTGAGCACCTTCTCTGAGCTCTTTGGCCATTTTTCCTCCAAGTGTCAAATGAGTTCCTGATCGAGTCTTCTCGTGATCTTGTGTTTGGAAAGGTGTGTCTCAGGATGGAGAGAGGCTTCCTACAACAGCCGGTGAGAAGAAATTGTCAAGCCAGGCACACCTTAAGAAAATCCAGGAGAGACTTCAAGGAGGAAGGAAAAACAAGTCACACTCAGTCACACAGCAGAAAGACAGCAACGCAGCCACGAGGGGACTGTGAGGAATGGGGACGGCAGGGTGCCCAGGCCCAGAGGGCAAGCCTCGTCCCTCCACGGGGACTGGTGACTCCCTGGGCTCGGCCTGTGGCTCCAGGTGCCAAAGTCCCTGAGCCAGCAAAGCCACCCAGAAGCGCACAGGCAGTCCCCTCTTGGGCTCACAGGGCAGACCCCTTGGAGGGTGTGGCAGACAGTTCCAGGCACAGCCTCCAGGCTGACTTGAGGAAGGGATCCCACCGCCTGGCTCCGGATGCTGCTTTCTCAGCCAGGCCCCTGAACGGCTTTGCCCCACTCTTGGGAGCCCCAACCACCCATTCATCCTTCTATTCATCTTTCTTTTCTCCCTTATGACCTAACTTCCTACCTCCCTTCCTTCTTTTTTACCTTCCTAACTTCCTTCTTTCCCTCCTTCTTACCTCCCTCCGTCCTTCCTTGTTCCTTCCTGTCATCCAAGCGTCTGAAGGACCCACTGGAAAACATGGGCCACAGCCGCCTCAGGAAATCACCGGTCACAGCTTGTGCTTGCGCCTAGGTACCGCCAGAGGGCGCGCCCGCTCCCTGAGAGCCTCGCGGTCAAGTTCCTTAGCAAAGGGAGCGGGCGTTGCGAGGCTCCAGAGAGCCCGCGTATGCGCAGTTGATTGGCCGGCTTCAGCAGCAGGAGGCTGGGCTCCCTGAGTGGGTAGACAGGGGTGGGGAGAGGAGGAAGGAAGGGAGAGGAGGGCAGGCTTGCAGGGTGCCTCCACCTTTCCCTCCTAAGGTCCCGGAGATCCCAGATCTCTGAGTGGCTGCCTCCACTGTCACCATAAAATCCACTGCTGCCCCTGCTGCCACACCCTCAGCCCCAACTGCCACCATGACCGCCACCCTGGTGGCAGTCTTACTAGAGTGAGACCCGGGCATGACGGGCCGCTCTGTGGACCCGAATCTGGACGGCAGTGGGGGGCAATGGGGTGGGATTGGGGTGCGAGAGATGAAATCTGCTGAGGCGGGGGCCATGAATGTCCCCACGTCCCGCTCCAAGTGATGGTCGGATCAACTGCAAATCTACTGACTCTGGGAGCGGAGCCTCCCCTAGACGTGGGCAGAGGAGGCCCATGCCTTGGGGCCACAGCCCAGCGGGCCCTGCCTCTCCCAGGGTCTTCCAGGAAGGTGTCGAAAGCATCTCCCCTCCCCACCTTTCACCCCACCCGAAAACCACCACCTGCCCTCAGGTGGTACCTGGGCATGGCCGTCGAGGAGCTGGCCGTGGAGACCCGGCCCAGGCACAGACCCTCGGTGGCTGCTTGGGCCACAGACGGGCATTCTCCTGTCAGGCCTCTGTCCCCTCCACGGTGGGGATCACCCTGAAAGGGCTCTAGCCGCCCTCAGAGGATCCCCTTTGGAGAAGAAGCAGTCTCTTCTAGGCTCGTGTGATGGTCAGGAAGGGTCTTCTCCAGGCCTTTCGGGGGCTCGGGCCCCTCCCGTCGTGTTCCAAGAGGCGGCAAGGGCAGCACCCCACCTCTGGGCACGGCCACCGGAAGTCGTCGGATCCCCGAGGGAAAAGCGGCGCGTTGTCCCTGAACGTGAATGATGCCGAGAGACAGGCTGCTGGAGGGGGTGCAGGGGGAGGGACGAGCGTCCGGGAAAGGCGCCGGGGCGAGACTAGGAAGGGAAGTGCTCGGTCTTGATAGGGAAGGGTCAGTCTCTCTTCTGAATTGAAAAACCAAACCAAGCCAACCAAGGAACCGGAAAAGAGGGGTGTCCGTGACTTAAGCAGAACAAAAGCCACGAGCTGAGCAGAAGGGTTGAGGAACAGGAGAGGCGCCGCGGAAGGAAACGTGAACCCACGGGGACCGAACGAGTGCAGCCAAGCGGAGGAGCACTGGATCACGCGAGAGAGTGAAGAGCCAAGGCAAGCACAGGGGACAGAAAGATCGCATCGCACACCTGCGGCCTTGGGAGGTGGCAAGACAAGATGCAGAGAGTGTTTCTGAGGCAGACTCTGGAGATCCCCAGACTGACCACGATGACCCCAGCCAGGCTTTGCACCGCAAGAAGAACCCCCAGAGGGGTCACGATGGAGAATATCCTATCCAGGACCCAAGAGGAAACATGCAGAGTGCCCACCCAAAGTCTGAGAAGGTTGGAGACAGGGTCGACAAAGCCAAAGAAAAAAAAAAAAGGACAGAGAGAGAGAGTAAGGGGTTTCCGAGGAAAAACCCCGGTACCGAAGAACTCCCACCCCCGCGAGGCCAACACCGCACCCAGCCCCCAGCGTCGGACTTCCCAGGGAAAAGAGTGGAAGCCAGAAGATGAAGTGCTGGTAGGCCAAAACAGACAGCTCAACTGGCATTGCGTCTGGGGCGAGTTGGCCATCAACTCTGTAGTGGAGTCAGTCCCGACGTCCCAAATCCACTTTCTTCTGGATCATGTTACCAGCGTTAGAGAAGATTGAAGCATTGGGGGAAGGTGTGATACTTTGGGCGTTGGAGTTATCACCACGTTCTCTGACTTCTTTTGGCATTTTTCCTCCAAGTGTAAAATCAATTCCTGATAAGGTCTTTTGTGTTCTGTTTGAAAAGGTGCCTCTCTGGACGGACATGGGCGTCCTACAACTGCTAGTCTGAAGCCATTACCAAGCCAGACGCACCTTAGGAAAGCCCAGGAGAGACTTCAAGGAGGAAAAATAATTCACACTCAGCCACGCAGTGAAACACAGGAACACAGCCACAAGGTGACCGGGAGGAATGGAGACAGCAGGGTGCCCATTCCCAGTGCCCACCCAGACAGGCAGCTCCACGGGCTCGGCTTATGGCTCCAGTTGCTGAAGCCCCTGAGTGAACAAAGCCACCCAGAAGGACACAGGCAGTCACTTCTTGGGGCCACTGGACAGACCCCTCTTCGGACAGTCCCAGGCACACCGTCAAGGCCAACTTGAGGAAGTCTGACCGCCGATAGTCTCCTGATCCTGCTGAGTCAGCCAGGCCCCTGCCAGGCCATCCTCCACTCTTGGGACCTTTAACCACCCATTCGTCTATCCACCTTCCTTTCCTTCCTTTTTACTTTTGTCGACTGAAATGAACAGTCTAAGTTATATTAGTGAAGGAGCTTATTCCACGATTAGCGTGAGGTGTTTGACCCCCTGGAAAACAGTTCAACAGACTGCTCTGATGGAACCGCTCTGAGGTGTGTGAATTTAAGTCTACTTTCTATCTGTTTCACAAAACACTGGACATGAAGGGAAGAGGAAAAAAGAAAAACTTACAAGTAGGTTATAAAAAAAAGGGATAGAGTACAGCTGGGCTCTTCTCTAGATTATGTACATTGAATGTAACAGAAGCAAGAATTTCTTGGTTATATATCAAACAAGTTCAGAGACCCTGATGTTATCCATGTGCGGAGGGAGGCAAGGACCGTGGCACATCGTTAAATTATGCCCCTAATCTCTAATAAACGCAACTGTGAAATGTGAAAGCGAGGTACTGCTTTACCTTTTCCTATTGAGGACCTGTCCGGCTAGCGTCTTCGGTCATGCAATGTGGGGTTGCAAGGTCATTTTGACACAGACTGAAGATGGCTTGCTTCACACCACGCTTTCTTCCTTCCCTCCCTCCCTTCTGCAGGATCCCCTGGAAAACATAGGCCACAGCTCCTCTCTAAGGCAGCAGAAACAGCCTGTGCCTGCTCCTCTGCACCACCAGAAGGCGCTCCGGCTCCCTCAGAACTCTGCGGCCACGTTGCTTAGCAACTACGGTGGCCTTTGTTAGGCCAGAGGCGCTCTAGCCCGCGCATGAGCAGTTGGTAGCCCGGCTTCAACTTCCCGGAGTTGGGCTCCTGGAGTCGGGGAGGGGAGAGGAGGACGGCTGGGAGACGCGGGACAGATGGGCAGAGCGTGTCTGCCTTCCTCTTCTTAGGTCCCGAGGTCCCACATCTCTAGGTAGCTGCCGCCACTGCCGCAATAACCTGCGCCGCTGCCCCAGCTGCCACCATAGCCACCACCCTAGTGGCAGCCTTACCGGTTGGCGAGAGGCGCGCACGCCGGAGCACCTCTGTGGACCGCAATCGGGACCGCAGTGGGTGGGCATGGGGTCAGATGGGCGGCGAGAAGGGTGAAATCCGGTGAGGCGGGGCGACGAAGATCCCCAGTCGTGCTCCAAGTGATGGCTGAGTCAACCGAAAGTCTCTTGACCCTGGGACCGGTGCCTCCCCTAGACGTACGTGGGCAGAGGAGGTCCATGCCTTGGGGCCACAGCCCAGGCGGCCCTGCCTCTCCCCGTGCCTTCCAGGAATTCTGCCACCCACCACCCTCCGCGAAACCTCTCGCCCCAGTCAACCCCCCGCCCAAAACCACCACCTTCCTTCAGCTAGCGGCTGTGGAGACCCAGCTCAGGCATAGACCCGCAGTTGGGCCACTGACGGAAATTCTGTGGGTCACGAAAGGGCTCCAGCCATTCTCGAAGGAACCGCGACGAAAAACTAGCAGTTTCTTCCAGGTCCATGTGATTATCACTAACAGTTTCCTCAAAGGCTTTGGAGGGCAAGAAGGTTTTGAAGGCAGCCAAGTGTAGCGTCCGCAAAGTTCCCAAGGGCCGCCAGCGAGCTGGGTCTCTCCGCGGTTCGGTTTTTCTACTCCAACCGTCTGGAGGTGTTGTGCGTTTAACCTGGCCAGGGACGCGACGCCTGTTCTGAGCCGCAGGGAGTGGCTCCAGCCGGTCCATCCCCTTTTCATCCCTCCCATCCCCCGCCGTTGTAGCGTTTTTTTGTTGTCGTTTGCTTTACATTTTTGAAATGGCCCGGGCAACGCCCCCATTGGCTCTTGCCTTTGGCGACAGCTGCTGCCATGGTTACCAGCTCCTGTACGCCAATGGCGGAGGCCGTACCAGCCGGTCACAGCCGGAGCCAGGGCCTCCTCGCCGTCCTTTCCAGCTCACCAGCCCCTCCCTCCCCCCACCGCCCCCCGCCTTTGGGTGCGAGGCAAACAGTCGCTCGGGGCGCGTGACGGCCCCGCGCCTCCTTCCATCCCGTCAGCCTTTGCGGGAGCACAATAAATGCTTTAAACCTTTGAACCGCTCTCCTTTTCCTCTAAGTGGAATAGAATGGGCGTGGTAGGCGTGTAGCTTGGGTTGGCTGGTGGACCCCAGGGGTTCTCGTCATCCCGGATCTGTTAGGGGGGTAGGCCTGGAGCCTGGAATCGTCTGCAAGGGGAGGAAACTGCGCCAGGCTAGACCTTTGCAGAGATTAGTTATTCTGAATTTGGTGAGACTTTGTGTTGATGTGGCAAATACAGTGGAAATGTGGAAGCCCCCGGCCCTGGCTCACCAGCCACAACCCGAGGTGTGGACTGAGCAAGGCACTGATCCTCTGAACTTGTTTGTTAATCTGGAGGACAGACGGGTTACTGGGAAAATTGGGAAGAATGACCCTCAGCACTGGGACACCCTGGTGTCCAGCATATGGGCTAACTAAGCCTTCTGGGCACTGAGCTGAGGCCTATTCTGACAGATGTTCTATGAAAGGACTAGTCAGCAAAAAAGGAGGACCCTAGGGGCCAGCCTGGTGGCATAGGGGTTTAATTTGCGGGCTGGCTTCAGCAGCCCTGGGTTTGCCAGATCATGTGTGCCAACCTAGCTCCACTCATCAAGCTGCTCTGTGGTGGCATCCCACATAAAAGAAATAGAGGAAGACTGCCACAGATGTTAGCTCAGCGACAATCTTCCTCAAGCAAAAAGAGGATTGGCAACAGATGGTAGCTCAGGGCCAATCTTCCTCATACACACAAAAAGCCCAAAAACAGCGGGTATGTACATGGTGCCCAGCTGGGCAAGCCTGGGCTGGGGTTACTGAGAGATGCAGGGGATCTCTTTTGATCCCTGTGTAAGAAACTACAGGTGATGAGGGGAAGGGCAATAGCTTGGGGGAGGAGTAGGGAGGGCAGGGAGCACCACTGGAGAAGAGCCCCTGGTCTGCTAGTACCCCTGACCCAGACCTGGCAGCTACTATCCCTCCCTGGCACATCTCTGGTGGGGTCACAGAGCAGACCCATCACCCACCTACCTCCCTGCTGGCCCCTTCCCACACACAGCAAGTGGCCACTCTAGTCCCTCTTCAGGTCTCTTCACATCCTGCTGGGCGCTCCTCACTGCTTGCTGCCTCAGCGAACTAACTGCAGGGCCAGGTGCCAGTGTGAGTCTTACCTGCCCTGCTGTGTGCTGGGCCCAGACGACAGGGCAGTGGACAAAACCAGCGCAAGTGCCTTCCCTGCCCAACCCCCCCAGCCAGTGGGGGAGACACGTCACAGATGCCCCCCTCAGCACATCACTGCTCTCTAGGCAAAAGTTCAGATGGGGCCCTGAATGTGGAGACCCGTGGCTGATGGCGGCAGGAGGCACTGGCTACAGCAAAGGAGGAAATGGCGATGCCAGACTTTGCTGTGGATGTTTTGGTTCTGGGCAACAGTGGGCATCCAGAAAGCAGGCAGGAGGAGGCCTAGGCTGGACACAGAGGGACTATGGTGGACAACGGGTGACAGCTCTACCCATCCTGGCAGCCTATGTCCTGGCCACATGCTGATCACTAACAGCTTCATCTCCTTTGCAGTTTTGACTGGGGGGCAGTGGGCCTGTGCCAGCACAGGTCCTGTCCCACACAGCCTGCAGGGCCAGTCAATAGGCCACCTGCAGGTAGAGGCCATGAGAGACCTTGGCCTACTCAGGATTCTGGGGGATGGTGCTCTGGACCACCTAAATGTGATCCCACAGATTCTATCCCATTCTAAACCAGAAACCCAAGCCCAGATGCCATCTGGACTCACCCCAGTTTTCCAAGTTAGAGTCTGAGGCTGGGGCCTGAGACTTGGCTTTCTGACCATCTCTCAGGTGGCTGTGAGGTTCAGAGAGGGTTGGGCAGCGCTGCTGCAGGGGACCTGGGCACGTGGACACTGCTCCTTCCTGCCCAACCATTCACACTGACCTTCACCCCTTTCTCTGAGCCCTCCCTAACCAAAGCCCCCCACCCTGCTGACTGACGGCCCTTTGAGGACATCCCTGAGCTCCAGGGCTCCAAAATGTCCTTCAGGTCATGCTTGTTCAGCATTGCCTTTCCTATTTCGCACCAAAATCCACCTTTGCTACTCAGACCACTTGGCTCTTCCAGTGGCCTCCTACTTTGCTGCTGCTGCCCCTCACCTCTCTCTTGTCACCCCCTCTCCATTCCTTGAAGACTTGGGCTAGCTCGCTGTTTCCTCCCCCAAGGCCTGCCTCCTCCAGACACGCTGGACTACCCAGTGGACCAGCCCTCAGTGGGGCCTCCCACTCTTCTGATAATGAAGACCACTTTAACTTTCCTCTGGGGACCCGACCCAACCCACCCTATTCAGGCCACATGGTTCTGGGAGTCTGACCCCTCCAGTCCCAGGGATGGTCATGAATCAAAGACCTGGCTAATGAGTGTTCAGTTAGTTATTCAATTTGTCACAATGACTGGGTCAGAAATGAGTTCTTGACTCCAGTGGCTTCAATGAGAGTCAATCCTGGGACTTTTCCTGGAACTACTGAGAAAGAGGTGCTCTCCCCCAGGATCACTAAAGGGTAGGGACATGGGGCCAGAGTTGCCAGTGGCCATCTTTGTCTACACGTAGGGAGAGCCTGCCTGGAAAAGGAGCCAAGACAGAGAAAGTTGGAAGCAAGAAATGGAGAGACATATACCAAAGGACATTAACGGAGCCTCCAGATCCAGCCATGCCTGAAGCTACCTTATACCTGAATGTCATGTGACCTGATATATTGCTTTTTGCATAAGCTGGTTTGAACTGGGTTTCTGTTACTTGTAATCTAGTCTCTCTTTTGACTCACTTTACCCTCCAATGCTCACATCCTGGACCTTGTCATCCCTTCAAATTGTTTGTCCTCTGAAACCACTCGCCCAGTGTCCCACTGTCTACCCACCGGCCCCTCCCCTCCTCTCTTCCCTGTTTGTTCGCTCAGATCGTTTAGCCGAGCTGCACCTCTGTGGGTGGGTCCCACCCCAAGGTGAAGAACCAAAGGCCATAAGCAACCCCACGTGAACACTCAATGTGTGTCAGGCACTCTGAGGAAGGTTGCACAGGCCTCATCTCAGCCTTATGACAGCCCTATCAAGGAAGGTGTTCAGCCCCAGTAAGGAAGGTGTTCAAAAGCTCATCCTACTGGTGTGATTGCTGAGACTAGGAGGCTGTATTTCCTGCCCTGACATCATACTCAGCTCCTGCATGGGGCTGCAGAGCCCAGGAATCACCATTTATTTACTGTGTCTCTTGGACTTGGCTTCAAGGAGCCTCAATTCCATGTGAACATTGGCGGCACATGACACCGCAAGGCCCAGGAGGAAGGCTTCCTGGGGGAGGTGACCCTGGTGCAGTGAGGAAGGAAAGGACCAGGTGCATTTGATTGTCTGTAAAATAGGGGCATAGCAATGGGCCAGGCCTGGACACCTCTCTGCCCACTGATCAGGAGAGGGGTCAAGCAGGACCAGGCCCTGGAGGCTGATATCAGGGTTCTGGGCCTGGCTCCACCATGGTCTTTTGGTCTGGGGCAAGAGTGTTCTCCCCAAGCCTTAATTTCCTCATCTATAAATGGAGCCAAGAAAGGTTTATTTTTTCATCTAACCAGAGAGCATCTGAACACAGAGCCTCTGACCAGGGTCTCCAGGTTTTCCTACCTCCATCCCTCACACCCCCCTGGGAATAGCGCTCTCTCCTCCTGCAATACTGTCTCTTTCCTCTCATAGAACTGGGAACTGCCTCCCTGTGAACCCCTTCAGGATCTCAGGTCTACCTTCTGGGTCCCTAGATCCGACTTCTCCCTGGCCCCGAGACAGCCCTGCAGCCACTGAAAAGGCCCTTTTCCAGGCTGTGCAGCTTTAGCGACTCATAGAATGGGGTCTGCACCCAACTGACTCTCGTGCACCAACCTAGCTGAACCTGTCCTCTGCCATGGCCAGGCTTAGCACTGAGCACACAACCTGTTGGGCACAAGGGGTACTGACATCTCTCTGTCCCAGGCATCAGACCTTGGGTGATGTGGCCAGAGGGCACATTAGCTGTTCTGGCAGCTCCACCAGTCATGAGGCAGCCAAGAGGCCTTGGTTCTTTCCACAGCAACTGCTACTGGGGCCACTTGCACTTGCAAATGAGGGCAGTGATACTTGCAGAGGTATTCTGAGAAAGGAATGAAATCTCCTACGTCAAGGGCCTAGTCCACAGTCATTCATTCAGCACATCCTGGTTGAGCAGAAGCAGGGATGGGGACCTATCACACCTACTCCCTGTTCTCGAGGAGCTCAGCCACGTGCCTGAGGACAGACAAACCAGCAGCTTTGGGGTAGTGACATTCCAGGCTGGAGCAGCACTGGCACAGGCTCTCGGGTAGGGAAAAAGGGAGGGCAGGAAAAAAGTAGGGGAAAAGCTCCTGAATTGGGGAATGGTGAAAGCAGCAAGTAGACTGACAGGACATGAGGCAGGAAAAGTCAGCAGGTGTTCAAGTTCCCATGTCAGTCAGAGTTCAAGGGAGAAGCAGACCCAGAAGGATATAGGCACATATACACCTAAATACTGGACTGGTTACAGGAAACTGGCTTGTACATGTGACAATAAAGGGAAATCTCATTTAAAATGGAGTCAGGAAACCCTGTAAAGGAAACTCTCACATACACATCTCACTTTACAATTTTGGGCAGGAATTGAAACTACTTTACTACTCCAGCAGGAGGAAGGAAGGTTTTCTCCTTGCCCAGCAACAGCTGAGCCAATGAAAAGCTGTCACCACCCTGAACTCTCACTTTCTTCCAATGACCTTTCCTTTAGAACAGCCGCACCCAACTCCCCCTTTTTCTCTATAAAAGCAAGCTCCCCACCTTTGTTCTCTGATTTGCCTATGGTTTGCCTTGCATTGCATTTCCTGAATTGCAATTCCTCTGGTTGTTCCTGAATCAACTCCTTTTGCTGCTAACTGGCTACTTTACTTTAACTTTGACGTACAATCGCAGCAGTTTCTGTAAGCCTGAATCTTTGTGACTGATGCTGGAGTCTGAGGTACACAATCAGGAGGGGAAGAACATGAGCAGGCTGAAACACCACCGGCATAAGCTGGAACACCAGGATGGACTGACACTTGTGTTGGTGCTTGTTGCCTTTGACCTTGGTGATGAGGGTATCCTGCAGAAGTTGAGACCCTTTGTAACACAGCTAACCATGCACACACTTGGCCCAGGAGTCAGTAAAACTGAAGGAGAATCCAGGGAATGTAGAGTAATTGCAGGCCCAGGGGCTGCTTCACACCAAGGAGGTAAATCAGCAGATCAGCAACCCAAATGGTTCCTTCCTTCCAAATCGGGCAAGAATATGCCTTGTGGCTCACCCTAATGTGAAACAGAAAAGTAAGGGAGTTCGGGGAAATGTAGTTCAGCCTAGCCATTACAAAGCCATCACTTTCCCATTATACAATGGATGTGTGTGGAATGAGGGTGAGGAAGGACGAGACCAGAGCTCTCACACACAGAATGCACAGGCACCAGGCCAGGCAGGGCAGTCTGGCCACCTGGAGGACACAGACCCCACCTGAAAAGGGGCAGTGCCTACCCAGTCCTGCTGATTGTTGCCAGGCTGCAATGTGGATCAGTGTGCTGAGAGCTTCCCATTTTTTTCAGACCGTGTCAGAAGCACCTCCTGAAAATGCTTCTAAGTCCCCTTCCAGAGGAAGGGAGTGACGTGGGCCATCCAGGGAGGCCTGGAAGGGGGCCTCAGCCTGGCAGTGGTCCCATGTGGGGCTCAGTCATCTGAGGCACCTCGTGAACATATTTTATGTGGAAACTATAAACTTTGTGAAACTTTCACTTTTAAAACGTGGGCTTAAGAAAAGAAATACTCCTCCTCATAGGATGGCTACTATAAAAAAAAACAACGTAAGTCTTGGCAAGGATGTGTAGAAATTGGTACCCTTGTGCACTGCTTGTGGGAATGGATGATGGTTCACCTGATGTGGAAAACAGTATGGAGATTCCTTGAAAAATTAAACATAGAATTATCATATGATCCAGCAATTTTACTTCTGGGTACATACCCAAAAGAATTCAAAGTAGTGACTTGAAGAGATATTTGCACACCCGTGTTCACCACAGCATTATTCACATTAGCTGAGGGTGGAAGCAACCAAGTGTCCAGCAACAGATGAATGGATAAACAAAATATGGTATATACATACAAGGGAATGTTATTCTAACTCATGCTACAACATGGATGAACCTGGAGGACATTATGCTAAGTGAAATAAGCCAGTCACAAAAAGACAAATACTGTATGATTCCACTTTGCAATATCTAGAATAGTCAAATTCATAGAGACAGAAAGTAGCATGGTGGATGCCGGGGACTGGGGGGATGGGGAAGTAGGGAGTTACTGTTTAATGGGTACAGAGTTTGTTTTCCAAGACGAAAACGTTCTGGAGATTAGCTGCACAACGATGTGAATCTACGTAACACTACTGAACTGTGCACTTAAAATGGCTAATATGGTAAATTTTATGTTATATGTATTTTAATGCAATTAAAAATACACACTATATGGTCCTGCCTCCAGCCGTGAGGTCACTCAACTTTATCTTCTATGATGGCACTTCTGGCTGCTTCACAAGACAAGAAGGCCCAAATGGTGGTGTCCTGAAGGAGACTGAGCCAAAGGAAGCCATAAAATAGTGAAAGCCAGAGACCCAGGCTGCTGCTGCTGAGCGTCTGCCCCAGGTGGAACCACCTCTCCATACAGGATTGTCATTAGGATCCCAGAGCCCCGTGCAGGGCACCCTGCAGATGAGGAGCTTTCAGAGCCTCCTTTTCTGGTCCACCTCTTCTTGCTGCTCCCAGCTCCTACTTTTCTTCTAGCTGCCTCTGCTAGGACCTAGAAGTGTGGCACTGGGGCCCTGCCCCAGTCTGACTGCCTTTTAAAACTCTCTGTTGTTCAGCTTGATTGCCCTACCCCTTTCACTAATGTCCCCAACTCCTCAAAACAGTCCTCTAGCTTCTGCCGCCTGCTGGGAGTATTGCCTGCAGAGCATGCAACATGCTTCTCTGCTCTGGAGTCCTGGGACGCAAGGTGGGGGGACACAAGGAGGGATCCTCATCCATCTCCACAGGAGGGACACCAGCCCAGGGGATGGTTCCGGGTCTCTAACAACCTGCATCTGTTGCTCTGGGCTCCTGGGAGTTCAATTGTGAGCACCCACTCTTCTGATTCACAGATGGGCAAACCAAGTTGCAGAGAGGGCAAAGGACTTGGTCAGATTTGTATGTACTGGGGACAGTCCCATACAGCCTTAGCCAAAGCTTCTTTCCCCAAGCAATGACGTTCCACCCTTCCCATCACTTGCTCCTCACTCTGGTTGAGAAGGCGGAGGGAGGGTATGCAGACCCAGGTGGGTATCTAGGAGTCTGAGGCCACCCATTACTCTCTTTGGTTCTCACACCACCAATCCACCATTCAGGTTTTCACGGCAGCAAGCAGGATCTTGTCGAACTCTCCAAGCTGATACCCCTCACAGGCCAGGAGCCTTAGGATTTGTCCTCAACTTACCTATGCCAAGCTGTGTGCCCTTGGCCAAGCCCCTCCCTGCTTGCACCTAATCCACCTCCATACAAAGCAGGGTTAGGCTTTAGGTATACAAGCTTTGTACCAGGAGATGGATCCAGATGGACTGCAGACAGGAATGGAGGGCCGACACCTGTCTATTAGGACCTGCAGTGCTGGAGATCCTCTGCCTCCTCTAATCAGGAAACAATACCTTTAAGGCCTGGATCCCTTTAAACCAAGCCTGGTCACTGCAGAGGTAGGGTGGAGGTGAAGAGGTGCTGCCATCTGGAAGCCCAGCCAAGAGGCCAGACCACCACATCCTAAGGCTGTCCCTCCTGCCCCAGAGAACAGCTGGGGCCCTGGCCTGACTTGGCCACATCCAGACAGGCAGATGAAGGCTGCCTTGTTTGTCCCTGAGATTTGTTCTTTAAAAACAAAGAAGAGGAGACGATGCTTCACTGCTCTAGTAAGCAGGAGTAAGCATTGGCAAAATGTGAGAAAATGAGGATTCATATGCCCTGAAATAAGTGAAAATTGGGAGAGCAATTTAGCAAAACCTAGGAAAGCTGATGCAGCAGATAGAAAAAAAAAAAAGGCAGAATGAAATATCCAAGATGATGCCAATTACGTAAACCTGAAAATCACAAAATAATGTGCTCAGATACAAGAACGTGCTTTTAACATCACATTAATGTGAAAGTATAAAAACCTGAATGGAAAGGATACATGCCTCAGAGGACATTCTATTCTTTCATGTTAAAATGAAAAGAAGCCAACAAATTCATTTACGACCCTGACAAACAGGTGGGAGATTGTAATGAAAAACAAAGAGAATTTCATTTTTGTCACTTATTAAACTTGAAGCAAATATGACAAATACTTACACAACAGTCAACCTTCTTCTAAGTTATCTGTATTTTTAAAAATCTCTTAGTAAAACAACTAAAACCCCACGCAAATCAGCCCAGCCGGGCCTAGCCTGGAGGTGTACTGTGCTGGCCCGCTCACTTCCACTAGAAGCCTTGCGCAGGAGGTGGGCAGCTTCTGCTTGGTGGCTCAATCGCAGCGCACTGCCGGGCGTGGTGCTGCCCCAGTGGAGCACTGGGGACAGACACCAACCACCCTGTCCTCCTGGGTCGCCGCCTCAGGGCCCGCATCCATTCAGCCCCCTGAGACAGTGTTTTGCCATCTGTGTCTCCAGGAAGCCCCAAAGATTAAAGAGCAGACCAGCCTTGGCGCTCCTGGAGATTCTTCCATTCCTTCCCCCTGAATCCCTGGGAAGACCACCTCCTGTCACACTGTCGCCTGGCGCTCCTCCCTTCAGCCTCTGCACCCTCTCTTCCATGGAGGTTTACAGGAACCTTGCCAAAGCAGCCCCATCGACAGTGGCCCTCCCAGCTCATCACATCCCTTCGGTGCACCCACACGAGCAAGTACTTAATTGCCAGGTGTGGTACCTGATTAATGCCTGTCACTCCCTGCCTAGCACAGTGCGGGGCATGAGGTAAGTGCTCACATTCATGTAACAATATTTGCAGACCAACTATTAATATTAGGAGAAAATAACAGTGAAAAAGCAGTCCCTGCTTTCAGGGAACTAATGATCTGGGTGGGGAGACTGAGCACAGATAACAACAAATAAATAAATAATTATAAAGGGATTCAGTGCCAAGGAGGAGGCTGCAGAGCGAATCACAGAGGTGTTGACCAGGCTGGGGCAGATGGTCAGCCCCCGAGGCAGCCTTGCTCCGGGCCCCAAGCCCATGTCATCCTCTGTGCCCCGCTCTACCCAGAGGCTGGGAATCTGGATAGGGCTTGGAGGGCTGTGCCTGGGGCTTCTCCTCACCCTGAGCCTATGCTCCCTGTGGTAAGGACAAGGTCTTGGCCTCCGTACCCCGTCTCCCTCCAGGCCCTTGTGTTTGGCAGACCCTCAGGTTTTGTTTTTGGTTTTTTTTTTGAGGAAGATTAGCCCTGAGCTAACATCTGCTGCCAATCCTCCTCTTTTTGCTGAGGAAGACCAGCCCTGAGCTAACATCCGTGCCTATCTTCCTCTACTTTACATGTGGGACGCCTACCACAGCATGGCTTGCCAAGCAGTGCCATGTCCGCACCCAGGATCCGAACCAGACAACCCCGGGCTGCCAAAATGGAACGTGCAAACTTAACCACTGCGCCACCAGGCCAGCTCTCAGGTTTGTTTTTAAGCTAAAGGATTCAGACAACTTCCAGGTATTAAGAGTAAAAAGAGACACAACAAAGAACGCCCCCACCAAGCCTTTTGGTTGTTTCCAAAAGAGCAGTTTGTCCCCAGAATGACCCAGTGCCCCACATTTGCAACAAAATCCAATCCTTAGGACTGATGCCATGAGAAAATAGTAAGATTCAGAATTTCCCCCAAGAGCAGTTTAGCAAATGTAATTTATTCATAAAAAAACAATGTTTTAAGAACTGAATTCCAAAGAACTTAGAGCTTAAAGGTTGAGCAGAAAACAGCCTTCCGCTAACAGCACCAGCTCAGGTCAGGTCAGGGCTTAGAACTGCCAGCAGGGTCAAGCTTCGAGGGAAGGCTCCAAAAGTCCTGCAGGAGAAGGCTGCAGGCATAAGAGGCCCCCTGTGGTGGTGGCCCCTCCTCTTCCCAGGCTGCCTATCTGCCCCACACTGGGTTCCTGGTCACAACCAGAATAGCCACTCCCCCAGGAACCCACAAATGTCCACTAACAATATGCTACCTCCTCCCAAAGCAAATCCATACACACACATGCAAGACCCTGTAATCAGCAACAGGACTCAGTGCAGCAAACCTGGCGTTGGTCTCTGAAAGTCCTGCATTACTCGCTGTGAAGTTGCTTGGTCACAGGCTCCTCCTCCTTCTCCTGCTTCAGCCATTGCTCTAGGAGAACTGCACTGCTTCTCTTGACCGAGGATGGGCTCTTCGGCAGGAACTGGCGCACATCTGACTCTGTCTTTTGGGGTGTTTTGGGGTCTTCCTTTTTGGGTGACTTTGTGGCCAGCCACTGCAACATTTTCTGGCTGCAGCCTTTTGCCTTGAGTTCCTAGGAGAAAGAAGAGAAAGCTCAAACCACCCAGCTCAAGCTTTTAGGAAAAGGCCAACTCCAAGGGAAGAAACAGGAAGAGGCATTAGGTACTGACCCAGGCTTGCAAAATGTTACTAAGAGCCAGATGGGGCCCACTAGTCAGGCCTGGGAGGAGAGGAGCAAGTGAGTGTGCTCCAAGGTACAAGGGTAGGGAGGAGCTCTTATAGAGGCTTCAGAGAGGATTGTGTGAGACCAGCCGGAGAAGAGAGCAACAGGCATTCCAAACACATGCAGAGAATGAAGCATTCTAGCGAAAAGAATGTAATTCAGTGTGACCAGGCAGAGTGTGGGAAACGAAGCTGGAGAGGTATGGCTTCAGTCACCACGATTAGGCACTCAGCCTAAGGCTGAACAGACTAGACTGTTTCCTGCTGTGCAGCCCTTCCGCACAGCCTCTCCCTGACAGCACTGCTTCCCTTCTGCTGCTCTTACCCCTACACCCCAACCGTGAACTGAAGCTTCTGAATTCGCAGAATGCCATCCCTCTAGAATGTGAATCCTTTTAGAGTAAAGACCATCACGGAAATGGGGCAGTGTCTAGGGCAAAATGAATATATATATAATTACATTTTTAGAGACATCTAATGAAAACAAGTGTCAGGGTCACAGGAGTTTGCAAAGAACTGAGACAAAAGAAAATGACACTAACTGTGGATACGGAAAACTTTAAAAATTTTAAGAAAAATGGGGGGTAGGCTGTTCCTGCAATCATCATCGTTAACACTTTCAGGCATTCTAAGATGTCTATTTTTGGAACATTGAGAGCCACCTAGAAACAGCTGCTACTCCTAAACCTTTGACCCTGAATGTCAGCAGGGGTCAGCTTTTTGCTCTGGAACTTCCTTCTCTAATGCAGGCCTTTTGCCTGTTCACCTTCCCTTCAAAACACATCTTCTGGATCCTTGCCAATTTTAAGAAGTTAAAGTTTATGGCACGAATGTTCTCAAATCCTCCTAAAGGAAAACAAGGATTAGAACTCCTCCAGCTTGTAGTGTGGGCAAGCAGAGTTACAGAAAAGAGACAAAAAAATCACAGTTGGCTATGGACAGAGATACAATTAGGGTCAAGGGGTCCTTTGTCTTTCTCATGATTATCCTCTAGATTAGGAGTCCTCAAACTTGGCTTATTATCAGACTCACTGAAGAAGCTTCCCCTTTTTTTTTTTGTCTGTGAGGAAGATTGGTCCTGAGCTAACATCTGTGCCAGTCTTCCTCTATTGTGCATGTGGGATGCTGCCACAGCATAGCTTGACGAGCAGTGTGTAGGTCTGAGCCTAGGATCTGAACCCATGAAACCTGGGCCACCAAAGCAGAATGCATAAACTTAACCACTACACCACTAGGCCAGCCCCTGAAGAAGCTTCTTAATGATACAGAAGCCCAAGCCCAACCCTGAATGTTGACTCTAGGTCTAGATAGGGTCTAGCATTTACATTTTGAAAGAGCTCTCCTGAGGACTCTGAGTCCACAGCCAGCTTTAAGAGTCATTGCTCTGCTCAACTGTGCCATGCACGAGGAATATGAGTTCTGGGTAGTTTAACAAAGCTCTCATTGTAAAAGGCCATATCCAAAAAAAAGGCTACACTGACAGAAGACAGAAAGCTCAAAAAAGACTGTCAGAGTCACAGGCCCCTACCTTTTGGACCGACAAGTCGATAGGAGCCAGACACTCAACACTGTCGTTTCGGGAGCTGTTCACCACAGAAGAGACTGGATGGAAGGTGATGTTCTCTGTAGGGTGGATTAACTTCAGAGCTTCCTGAGTTGAGACTTCACCAAAATCAAGCCATTTAGAGACTGCCTCCTCTCCATCTAATATGGCAGGCATCCTAGGCAGTGAGGTCAAGTCATTGGTTGGGAGAGGTAGAGTGACGGTAGGGAGAGAAAGCAGAAAGACTTGAGTCAGATGACAGTGCAAACCATCACAAGCAGAAGCTTGCCCTCCGTCTGTGCCTCACACACGGATTGCTGCCATGTGTTCCCTGACCACAACTTGACAGGGCATGAAATCTGACACTAGGAGAGCCAGCTTACAAAGTTTTATGGCAAAGACAGCGAACACTGCTTTGACTGGATCCAGTGCAATCCAGTGTACACGTTCGTAAACTGGTCACCTTTTTATGATAACCCAGCCTAGAATTAAAGGGAGAATAGATCCTGGAAAACTTGTCTATCAACAGTAATCTCCAGCCTTACCAACTATGAAGATTTACAGTCAGAAAGAGCTATTCACATAATTGTGAACAAAAGGAAACTATGCCTCAGAAAGCAAAGAAGCTGTCTAAGGTGACTGTTGGTACCTAGAAGGATGTTAGTTAAAGATCCTATGTTTAGCTTCCAGTTTTATGTCCTAGGTCAATGCAAACCATGGTACACATTTCACTGGTAGGTGGTACAGTTGACTTTGGGAGATAAATGCATAAACATCTATTTTAATAATCATTGTAACTTCAACAAATCAAATACATACTTTAAAAAAATATTTTGCTGATTGGTGGTTGCCAGGGGAAAGGGGGGTAGGGGGAGGGCACTAGGGGTGAAGTGGTGTACCTACAACATGACTAATAATAATGCACAACTGTAATCTCACAAGGATGTTAACTTTTATAACCTTAATAAAACAAACAAACAAAAAATATTTTGCAATCTAAAATCCAGAGGCATCTTATGATGAATGTCATCTCTGCATGAGTTATAGCTTAGCTGGCAGTAAATTGCAGCACTTTACTTTTCTTAACAACATAGGAAATAAAAGCACATTTAAAAAACCATGGTTTCTTAGATTAGATGAAACGGTAATTTATTATAAGATCAATATGTGAAAAATAGAACTACTGTATCACAGGACAGCATAATTTTACACAGAATGCTTAGGACAAAGCTAAAATAAGTAATACATGCAGCACTGCACTTTTTTCAGAAAAACATCAAAAATCACTTCTCAGAGCACTCAGATCTGGCAAAAACTGTGAAAGCGTTACACAAGTATAGTCAGTTCTGCTAAGGTTCATTTTTAAAATGGGAATCTGTTCAGTGTGATCGATACACTAAGGAGCAATTCAAGCACAACACAGCAATAAAATGAGGCACGCCTGTATTTATTGTAGTATCTTACGTATTTCTTTTCTTTTTTTTTTTTTAAGATTTTATTTTTTCTTTTTCTCCCAAAGCCCCCCAGTACATAGTTGTGTATTTTTAGTTGTGGGTCATTCTAGTGGGGGCATGTGGGATGCCGCCTAAGCGTGGCTTGATGAGTGGTGCTATGTCTGGACCCAGGATTTGAACTGGCGAAACCCTGGGCTGCTGAAGCAGAGCGCATGAACTTAACCACTCAGCCACGGGGCCGGCCCCTATCTATGTATTTCTTAACTGCTTAATGCACAAAATTGTTTTTTTTACACTCCTGTTTTTAATAGCTTCCTATTATTTTTTAATGTGTCACTGACAAAGTTTTTAAGTGTTGTCTCCTTAACCCCACTTTTCTCATAAGTTCTGGGTTTTCACTGTACAATTTTGCAGTGTGGTGATTTTTAGGAATGCATGTCATATTATAGCCAACAGACCGTAAATGTATTTTGCACAGCAATTGCTACTCTCTAGATTTGTACATACAGAAACTTTAAATTCCAAAAGCTACCTATCTAAAAGCAAAAAGAACAAACCCTCCTCTGTATCCTTTTGAACCCAGGGATAAGAAGTGTGACTTGCCTTTGGTGGACGTCATTCAAGACTTTGCAGGCATCCACTGTGATGATGGTGTAGGAATACAGGTGGTCTCCTCCCTGTAGGGGCTCCCAGCAGTCAAAGATCCCAGCCATTGTCAGCAGCCTCCAGTTGTCCCAGACTTTGTTCCAGTCCTCTGGACTGTCTGCAGCACCAATGCTGCCTAACTGCAAGCGAAACACACAGGCATATTAGATATTCAGCAGCCCCCTCCTATACACAGGTTGGGTACTACTACAGACCTAAGAACTAATTCAGCCCATGCCTTATTTACTCCTCTGGATCCAATGTCACCAAAGGAAAGAGGGTTGTTGGCAAATACCCACCAAAGAGATACATTTATGGCTCCTTAATGCTTTCAGTATACGATTTAACTTCTTCAGTGGGCATTCAGGGCCTCCATGATCTGGCCCATCATTCTAGCTTCATTAACAATGTTAATTTGAACCAAACCCAGCTGTTTGTGAATGAGACCCTGGTGCAATTTTGTGTTCCTGTATCTTGCCAAAGCAAACTTCCTCTGCCCAAAATGTCCTTCTTGCCGTTTCTCATCATGCCAATTCCTACTTGCCATTTACGATTCAGTTCAAGGCCTGGAATACAGAAAGCTGGAAAGGAGGTCACCTCCACTTTAACAATAAGAAAAAAGCTAGATAATCTAAGAAATTATAACTTTTCTTAAATTCATCAGAGAACTGAGGTTGCAGGAAAACCAGTTAGCCTGAACTTTATGGAAAAACAAGGGCCTCCAAGGAGAGATGAGACACAAGTATAGGTGTTCCTTGTTTTATTGTGCTTCACTTTACTGCACTTTGCAGATATTGTGTTTTTACAAGACCCTCCACCAGCAAAAAGATGATGACTTGCTGAAGGCTCAGATGATGGTTAGCAGTTTTTAGCAATAAAGTATTTTTAAATTAAGGTCTGTACATGTTTTTTAAGATATAATGCTATTGCACACTTAATAGACTACAGTATTGTGTAAACGTAACTTTTATATGCACTAGGAAACCAAAAATTCATGTGACTTGCTTTATTGCAGTTGTCTGAAGCTGAAGCCGCAATCTCAAAAGTCTGCCTGTACTGGCTTACTGGTGGCAACAGGAGGAAGTCAAGACCTTCATGCAGCAGGTAAGAATTCAGAGAAAATTATTATCAAATTGCTAAAAGCAGAGTGTGGGTTAGCCTGGGAGAGTACAAACCCCCTGGCAGCTGCAGAAATCAGGGAAGTTGGCATCACCTCGCAGACTCTTCTCTATGGACCTCTCCAGGTGCTCGCAAGAAAGACTGGGGGCAGGGCAAGAGACTGGAAAAAGCCATTCTTGCTGGTGCATACCCAGCGGAGAGGGCCTCAGCTAATCACTTCTCCTCTAAGGAACAAAAGCCTTAAGCGGCCAGGGGAAGGGTAATAAGCCCTATTGTCCCTAAGATACAGGTAAAGACCCACTGATGCTGGGGAAGGACAAGAAGAAAAAACCTTCTACTCCCCTCGGGAAGGAGCAGCATTACTGAGAAAGCCTGAGAGCCTGGGACACAGTTCTGCCTAAGACAGACTGAGCCAAGATGACAGAGAATTCTCTTCCCCCTTCAGATTAGCAAGCACCAAGTGACAAGCAACAGCAGTCCAATTCTGGGGAAGGAGAAAGAGCATGGAGAGATCCTCTCTAAAGCGAAGACTCAGAGGGAAGTACTACAGCTGAAGGGAGCAGGCTACTGAGAAAAAACCCTCTGGAAAATCAACCCTCACCCTAAACACAAGGTGGCACCAGAGAAATTAAAAGCCTGTGGTGAACAAAGGCAATCATAACAACAAAACCCAAACCCAGTTCACTACCTGTCAAGATCGATTCAACTTCACACATTAATGGCCTAATACAAAGCAAGTGTATTCATTTCCAGGCATAAATATTATTTATCTAAGTTTCTGTCCTAGATACGATGTCTGGAAATCAATATAAAATTACAAGACACACAAAAAAGCCAGAAAGAACAATGAACTGCCAAGAGATACAGAAATCAACAGAACCAGACTCAAGAGATTACGTTTCCCAAATGCTGAAATTATCAGACGGGGAATTTAAAATAAGTATAGTTAATGTGTTAAAGGCTCTTGCAGAAAAGGTGGACAAGATGCATGAACAAATAAGGAATTTCAGTGAAATAAAAAGGAATCAGGGAACTTAATAAAATTTTTATTTATTTTGTCAGTAAGAAATACCCAAACTGAAACACAGAGAAAAAAGAATAAAATATACAGAAGAGAACATCCAAGAACTATGGGACAATATCAAATTATCTAACGTGTAATTAAAATCCCAGAAAGAGAAAAGAAAATGGGGCAGAATATTTGAACAGATAATGGCTGAGAATTTTCCAAAAATTATGAAAGATATCAAATCACAGATCTAAGAAGTTCAGAGAACATGCCAAACACATACACCCCACATGCATCATATTCAAACTGACTAAAATCAAAGAGAAAATTTTCCAAAGAGGAATGTGGAAGTACACATGACAGACAGAAGAAAAAAAGACAAGAATTACAATAGACTTCTCAAAAGAAACTATGAAACCCAGAGACAATGCACTACTTTTTTTAAAGTGATGGAAAAAAACTCCAAAAAACTGCCAACCCAGAATTCCATACACAGTGAAAGTGCCTTTCAAAAATGCAGATAGTGGTTGCCAGGTGCTGGGGGAAGGGAATGACAAATAATGGGTACAGGGTTTCTTTTTGGGGTGACAATAATGTTCTGAAATTAGATAGTGATGATGGTTGCCCAACATTTTGAATATACTGAAAACCTTATACACTTTAAAAGAGCAAATATTACAATATGTGAATTATTTCTCAATAAAAAAATAATGATGATTAAAAAAATGAAGAACTAAATACTTTTTTGGAAAAACCAAAACAGAATTCATTACCAGCACACCTGCACAAGAAATATTAAAGAAAATTCTTTAGGGAGGAGGACTATGATACCACAGAGAAACTTGGATCTACCCAAAAAGTGAAGATTCATGGAAATGGCTAAAATAAATGTAAATGTAAAATTCCCTTTCTTATTTTTACCACTCTAAAATATAATTGACTGTCTAAAGCAAAATAGTAGCAATGTATTATGAGTTTACAGCATATGAAAAAGTAAAATATATGACACTATACCAAAAATGCCAGGAATCAGGAATATACTGTTGTAAGGTTCTTATACTACACAAGAAGTAGTATATTATTTAAAAGTAGATTGTTATTAATTTAAAATGTATATTATAGAGCAGCTACTAAGAACATTTTTAAAAGAAGTAAAAATAATAAGCCAATAGTGGAGATAAAATGCAAACATAAAAAAATACTCAATCCAAAAGCAGGCAGAAAAAATAGGAGAAAAGGAAAAAAGAGCTGATGAAACAAACAGTTAGCAAAATAATGAATTTTTAACCCTATCAGATGAATAATTACATTAAATGTTCTAATCACTACAAAATTCCCTCCTCTGTGAAGCCTTCTATGATGCCCCAGTCTGAGTTATATGCTGTGCTCTGTGCCCTGATCACCTCAGAAGCAAGCCTTCCCTGAGTATTCAACACTAGTTTGCGATTGTTGATTTAATTATCTGTGTCTTGGTTGTAAAGCTTCGAGGATAGAAATCATGTCTCACTGATTTCCAGGAGCCAAGCAGGGCACAATGGTATATGGGGAATAAGTGTCTACTGAATAAACAGATAAATTTTTACAGTTAAGAGACTAATTGTATAGAATTGAGGAAAGTGTCATTCTAGTCCACACAAGTGCCTAACAGTGTCTCAAGAAGAATGCCAGAGGAAAATTCTCCTTTTGAATACACAATTCCTTATTTACTTATTTATTTATTTTTTGCTGAGGAAGATTCGTCCTGAGCTAACATCCGCTGCCATCCTCCTCTTTTTGTATGTGAGCTGCCACCATGACATGGCCACTGACAGACAAGTGGTGTACGTCCATGCCCGGGAACTGAACCTGGCCTGCTGAAGCAGTGTGCTCAACTTAACCACCAGGCCACTACGGCTGACTGTACAATTCCCAATGTAAAGATGGAGAAGCAAAGGAACGGAAACCTTATGGAGTGGTTCCCTCGGTAATAAGCCCCAGAAGTTCTGAATTACAGTTAATTTTAAATGGAAAAAACCACAGTGTAGAATCTGGGAAAATGGCAGCCTGAATGCATAGCCTTGACTCCATCCCTAGAATAACAAAATAGCCAGGACAAGCATGCTGGCTCCTCTGAGGCAAGAGTAAGGGCCAGTGGTGTGAAGAAGGACTGGGACCTTGCATTTAACAGCTACTTCAAGAGGGTAGGAAGAAGGATTCTCTGAGATTCTCTGAGTATTCTCTCAGAAGAGCCATATCTGTCTACTTGCTACCTAGGGTCCTTAGAGAGGCTGCTGTCAAATGCTGTCTCATCTCTCCAGTTGGGAGAGACCTGGCTGTAGAGAGGCTGCCTTCCCTTTCCTTGGAAGATGGCTAACACTTGGCTAATACATTGACTGGACACAAATAAAACCAGAAATGGCTCTACCTGTTATATCCTGATAGTTTGCCATTGTTGGAAAACTGTAAATATACATAGGCACATTGAGGAATGCACAACTATAAGCTGGCAAAGAAAAATTCTAGCCTATCTAGAGGAACTAGGTAAACCATAGAGAGGAGACTGAGTTAAAAAAAAAAAAACGCAGAAGGCCAGCCCAGTGGTGGAGTGGTTAAGTTCGCACATTCCACTTCTGTGGTCCGGAGTTCACCGGTTCGGATCCCGGGTGCGGACGTGGCACCGCTTGGCAAGCCTTGCTGTGGTAGGCATCCCACATATGAAGTAGAGGAAGATGGGCATGGATGTTAGCTCAGGGCTAATCTTACTTAAAAAAAAAAAAAAAAAGTAGAGCTAATGGGAGAGAGAAAAAACTAACAAAAAGGTAATGATTGGAGGCTGGCCCCATGGCTGAGTGGTTAAGTTTGCACGTTCCACTGCAGGTGGCCCAGTGTTTCGTCAGTTGGAATCCTGGGCGCGGACATGGCACTGATCATCAAACCACGCTGAGGCGGTGTCCCACATGCCACAACTAGAAGGACCCACAACTAAGAATATACAACTATGTACAGGGGGGGCTTTGGGGAGAAAAAGGAAAAAAATAAAATCTTTATTAAAAAAACCCAAAAAAAACGACAGCTTCCATATGCATCCCCCCACCTACTATATATATTGTCTTCCCTCCCCTTTCTTTTGGTCTATGCTTTTTGCCAGGTCAACCTCTCCTCTGGTGCACTAGATCCCATTCCTTCTTACCTATGCAAGGACGACCGTCTAGTGACTTACACTTTCTCCCTGCTCTCTACTGCATTATTTCCAACAGCTTACAAATATGCTGTTATTTCCAACTGTTTGTTGCTACTATATAAAAATATTGTTGATTTGTGTACATTGACCCTGAGGAGAAAGTTTTCTAAGGTACTTGCATTGTCCAAAAACAAGCAAAAGTATTATTCAATACCAGGTTTAGGGATATATTTAACCAAGGAGGTACAAGACTTGTATAATGAAAACTATAAAATATTGTTGAAAGAAATTAGACTTAAATAAATGGAAAGATACCCTGTGTTCATGGATTGGAAGACTTAATATTATCAAGATGGCAATTTGGGAAACACCCCAAATTGATCTACAGAGTCAATGCAATTCCTATCAACATTCCAAAAGTCTTTGCAGAAAGAGACAAGCTATCTTAAAATTCATATGGAACTTCAAGGAAACCCAAATAACCAAAGGAATCTTGAAAAAGAAGAACAAAATTGGAGAACTCAAACTTCTCCATTTGAAAACTTACAAAAACCTACAGTGTGGTACTGCCTAAGAATAGATATATAGATCAATGGATAGAATTAAAAGTCCAGAGATAAACCCATTCATATATGGCCAATTGATTTTCCACAAGGATACCAAGGCCATTCAATGGGGACAGAATAGTCTTTTCTACAAATGATACTGGGATAACTGGATGACCACATGCAAAAGACAAAGCTGGACCTCTAATCACACCATACAAAAAGATTAATTTAAAATAGATCAAGGATCGAAAAATAAAGCTAAAACTACAAAACCCTTAAAAGAAAACAGAGGAGTAAATCTTTATGACCTTCAGTTTAGCAACGGATTCTTAGGTATGACAGACACTACAGGCACAAACAACAATGGAAAAAACAGATACATTGGATTTTATCAAAATTAAAGGTTTTTGTGCTTTTTTTTTTTCTTTTGAGGAAGATTATCACTGAGCTAACATCTGCTGCCAATCTTCCTCTTTTTGCTAAGGAAGACTGGCCCTGAGCTAACATCTGTGCCCACCTTCCTCTATTTTACATGTGGGACGCCTTGCCACAGCATGGCTTGCCAAGTGCTGCCATATCTGCACTGAGGATCTGAATCCACGAATCCCAGGCCACAGAAGCGGAATGTGAGAACTTAACCGCTGTGCCACTGTGTTGGTACCAAAACTTTTGTGCTTTAAGGGATACTATCAAGATAGTGAAAAAGCAATACACAGAATGAGAGAAAATATTTGCACATCATGTATCTGGTAAGAGTCTAGTATTCAGATTGTATAAAGAAGTCTTACAACTCAACAAAAAAAAAAGACAACCCAATTTAAAGGACTTAAATAGATATTTTTAAAAAGAAGAAATGTAAATAGCCAATAGGCACGTGAAAAGATGGTCAATGTCATCAGAGATTAGGAAAACACAAATCAAAACCACAATGAGATACCACTTCACATTCACTAGGATGGCTACAATTTTTTAAAAAATGAACAAATAACAAGTGTTGACAAGGATGCGGAAAAACCAGAACCCTCATACAATGCGCGTGGGAACGTAACCCAAAAGAACTGAAGTATACTTGTATACTAATGTTCACAGCAGCATTATTCAAAATTGCCAAAAAGTGGAAACAACCCACATATCCATCAACCAATGTGGTGTATCTATACAATAGAATATTATTTGGCAATAAAAAGGAAGGAAGTAGTGATACACACTGTATGCATGAACTTTGAAAACATCATGTTAAGAGGCCAGACACATAAAAGGACACATATTGTGTGATTCCATTTATACTAAATGTCTAGAATAGGCAAATTTATAGACACAGAAAGCAGACTAATGATTGCCAGGGGCTGGAGGAAGAGAGTAACAGAGAGGGACTGCTCAATGGGTACAGGGTTTCTTTTTGGGGTGATGAAAATGTTCTGGAATTAGATAGTGGAGGTAGTTTACAACATTGTGAATATACTAAAGGCCTTGAATTACACACTTTAAAATGGTTACAATGGTGAAATTTATGTTACGTAAATTTTTACCTCAATAAAAATTTTAATTATAAAAAATATTAATCTTAGGGGCTGGCCCAGTGGAGCAGTGGTTAAGTTCACATGTTCCGCTTCTCAGCAGCCCAGGGTTCGCCGGTTCAGATCCCGGATGCGGACATGGCACTGCTTGGAAAATGCCATGCTGTGGTAGGCATCCCACATATAAAGTAGAGGAAGATGGGCACAGATCTTGGCTCAGGGCCAGGCTTCCTCAGCAAAAAGAGGAGGACTGGCAGTAGTTACCTCAGGGCTAGTCTTCCTCAAAAAAAAAAAAAATTAATCTGAATAAAAACAAGAGTGGCATCCTGGAATTAAGGGAGAAAAAGAGATACCATGGACAATTTTTGAGCTGGCGTTTCTTCCTCTCTGAAAATTTAATCTCCACTCTGGCCTCCACCTTAGCTAGTACCCTTCCCTCATAAAAGACCTGCTCCTGAGTACAGGAAAGCCCTTAAGGGGTAAAAAAGTAACAATTATTTGAAGGATAAACCTCCTGACAAAGCATCACAGTAGCCATCTGATTGCCTTTAGACAAACCAACAATCTCTTACCCCAAAACAACACAAGAGATGGAATATCAGTGACCAACCACATTAAGGATTAACCATTAAGAATAAAAAAGTTTCATGCTGTTTAACAATGTTAAAGCTCTGAATTAGGGAGTCCAGGATTTAAACATTCCAATTCTAGTTCTTCCCCCAATACCTAATTTGATCAATTTGTACACCAGTTAATTACCATAAAATAGTACATGTTTCTGTTTCTTGCCCATGCCCCTCAGAAGCAAGGGCTTATACTGAATGATGAATGAATGGTCGTTAGGTGACATTAAGATAAGAGTCTTGGAGAACAAGAGAGTTTTTACAGTTTCTTCATTTGTAAAATGAGAATAACAGTACCTTCTTCAAAGGGTTATAAGAAGTACTGAATAATACACATTAAGTTCCCAGAAATAGTACCTGGCTTACAGTAAGTGTTTAATATTTAACTATTTTTATAGATCACTCTTTTCCTCCACCAAATCATCTGTGCATTAATAGACTGGCTAGAGAGATTTTCTGAGGGTGAGGCAAAGGCTCTTGACTATGAGAGTCCCCGAAATGAGATGACACTATCTGAAGAACAAACAATTCCCAATTTTAACAAAGCACACTACAGTGAGAGAACACAGAGGCTTTAGTAGTGTCAAAGCAATAAATGTAATTAAAATGGAAACATGATGCTGGCATGTCTGATTTGTTTTCAATCTCCTTATAACCTTATATAAACAGGCCATATTGATTGTTTGTCTTAAGATGAGAGTTCTGTGAGGGAAATGTTAAATACAGTCATGCATTGCATAACAACGTTTTGGTCAACAATGGACGGCATATAGATGGTGGTCCCATAAGTTTAGGACCATAGAGCCTAGGTGTGTAGTAGGCTATGCCATCTAGGTTTGTGTAAGTACACTCTATGACATTCATGCAAAGACGAAATCACCTAATGACGCATTTCTCAGAATGTACCCCCATCGTTAAGTGATGCATGACTGTATAAAGTTATGATATGACCTAGCAAATCCACCCCTAGGCATAAACCCAAGAGCAATTAAAACATATATCCACACAAAAACCTGTACATGAAAGTCCACAGTAGCATTATTCATAATAGCCAAAAAGCAGAAACAACCCAAGTGTCATCTACTGGTGAACGAATAAACAAAATGTGATCTATCCGTCTGAAAAATGGATTATTCAGCCATAAAGCAACGACATACTGATACATGCTACAACACAGATGAACCTTGAAAACATTATACTGAGCAAGAGAAGTCATACACAAAAGACCATATATTGTATCATTCCATATATATGAAATGTCCCAAACAGGCAAATCTGGAGAGACAAAGTAGATTAAGTGGTTGCCAGGGCTGGAAGGAGTAGAAGAGAATGGAGAGTGTCTGCTAATGGATATGGGGTTTCTTTTTGGGGGTGATAAAAATGCTATAAAATTAGATGGTAGTAATAATCACACAACTCTGAACATACTAAAAAATCACTGACTTATATACTTTAAAAGGTGAATTTTATGGTAAATTCTGTCTCAATAAAGCTGTTATTAAAAAAAAAAGCTCTATGAGGGAACGAAAAAAAATGCCCTTGTTTAGATTAGTTTCTCTGTACCTTTCCAAATATCTACTATGAGTGCTGATGACGATACCTTTTCTGATTTGGTTTGGGGGAAGTAGATAAAGTATGGCTGCCTGTCGTACGTTCCCCGACATCGCTTCCACTCGTAGAATCCATCTGCTAAAACAACACAGCGTCTTCCCTTTCCCAGAGGCACCTGAGGGAAAATGTGAGCAAGATGTGGTCTTAGTGATATAATCGTGTTTCGTGGACTTGAATAAAATCTCAGGTCTACCAATGTGTGACCTCACAGCTGTTATTTCTCTGTACGTCAATTTTCTTATGCATAAAGTCACCACTTAAACGGATGTTGAAAAGATTAAATAATGTACATAGCAGCAATAGCTCTCTAACAAATAGGCACTTGTAGTAGCTAGCCTTTGAAGTTGATCCCTCAATGAGCCATGCAGCCCAGTATTCACAAACTATGTAGTCCCCTCCCACAAGGCTAGGTCACAAAGTCATACAGCTTCTGCCCTGCTCTCTTGGATCACGAGCTCTGGGGTAAGCAGGACGCCATGTAAGAAGCCTGAATACTCTGACAGCCTCCAGCAAAGCATGTGGAAAGGCTTCCAGTTCTACCTATCCCAGCTGAGGTGTCAGACATGTGGGTGAAGAAGCCATCCTGAACATCCAGACCCAGATGTCACCTGATTATAACTGCATGAGAATCTCCAAGTGAAAACTGTCCAGTTGAGCCCAGTCAACCCATAGAATATGAGAAATAATAAACTGTTCAGTTTTAAACCACTAAGTTTTGGCATGGTTTGTTACACAGTAATAAACTGAACAGCACTCAAAATTAACAACTGGGAACACACTCTGGAAACTTAAGGAAGGTTCCAAGAAAAACTAATTTTATTTCTCAGGTATATAAGGCACTAATTGCTCTGTTAGAAAAAAAGAACAGAATATGTGCTTTTTCGCTAGACCAGATACTTACGTTGAAGGACCGTTTCTCCATTATGGTATCACTACGACAATTGGTAATGTTGAATGGCAGCTTGGAAGGATCATTTTCTTTGAACCAAGATGGGACCAAACCCCATCGCATGGGAACAATGATACGCTCAGAAGAGTCTGTGCCCTGTCACAGAAAGATGTTAAGATCCAGTGAGGGGATCATAATGAAATTTAGAAAACCATATTTAGCATATGTATTACATTACTATTAGTATCGAAATACAAAGAACATTATTAAAAGGGAAAGATTTCACTTGAAAACAATTTTAATGATTTATCATAATATGATAACTTGAGTTCTTTAGCAAGCCTATTTATTAGAATGTAAGACATTCTGCTTGGGTAGAATGGGGGATACAAAGAGGTTTAGTTCCTGTAAGCTTTTAATTAGTGCCTACTATAGGAGAGACATAGTGCTAGGCCCTGAAGTTTACTTAGTCTCAGCTCTCAAAAACACTTATTACAGACAACCATAATACAATGAAGTATATGCTATGATCAAGGAATGCACAGGGTGCTATGGGGGCACATGGAAGAGTGCTTAACCTCAAAGGGCTTGCACTATTAACATGTGAAGCCACACAGACAGAAAAAGAGCAAGCAATAATACAAGATACAATAGGCTAAGGGCCATATAAGAGGTACATACAGTGAGTGTCAAAAGAGCAGAGAGTGATCTGTGAGAGATGGAATGGAGATGTATCGGCTCCTTAGAAGGGGCAGAAGAGGTGGGAGTGTAGTGGGGTGGTTCTTGAATTGGATTCCACAAGAGGTACACTATTCAGACAGAGAACAGATGCGAGAGAAGACCAGAAATGGAATTAGATGAGCAAAGAGGCCATGTCAAGAATGTGCAGGAAGCGGTTTTGTACAAAAAAGTGTTACAGCAAGCCTGAGGATGCAGCTTTTAGGAGGGCCTGCGTACAAGGTTTGTATTCAGTTAGCATCTGGGAACTTGGATTTAGAGTGTTCCTACCTTTTCCTAACTGATAAGGATGGTTTACTGTGCCTAGCCTGTCTGTGCAAAACATGAGGTTTATGCTGAACTGCTTTCCTTCTGGGAGTCTGGAATTTTGGTACTTGCTAGGCAGAGAGTGCTTATGTGACCAGCCCCCAGTAAAAACCTTGAGCCCTGAGTTTCTAACGAGTTTCCCTGGGCAGAAACACTACACACGTTACTGCAGTTTTCTTTGCTGGAAAAGCAACATGCTTAGTGTGTCCCCTCACAGGAAGGAGAGAACATAAGGAAGCCTATGCATGGATTTTTCCAGATTTCTACTTGTGTCTTTTCCCTTTGCTGATTCTACTATATATCCTTTCACTGTAATAAACCTTAGCCATGATATGTCTTACATGCTGAGTCCTAACAAATCTCTAAATGTGCGGGTAATCTTGGAAACCCCTGAAACAAGGCTGTTAAATTTTTTGGGGCAATTGACCCCTGACAATTTGATGAAATCTCTAGACTAAAATGCTCAGACACACTATTCTGCATGGTGCAGTACAATATGGGAAGAGACTATGAACACAGAGTGCATTCCAGGTGTACTACAATGGTTCAGGGGTAAAGATACAGTGGGTCTGGTGACAGCAGTGAGAATAAAAGACATCCAAAGATAGAAAAAAAAATGCAATTGTGGTGGTGAATGGAAAAAGAAATAGGGATGATGACAAAGGGATAGGGAAGATGCCTCTAGATTGGAGGTTGCAAACTTTTCTGTAAAAGGTGACTTGTTAAGTATTGTAGACTTTGCAGCCCATATAGTCTCTGTTGTAACTATAACTGCTGTTATAGGGACAAAGCCATACACAATAGATAAATGAATGGATGTTGCTGTGTTCCATAAAATTTCATTTACAAAAATGGTCAGAGAGCCCTAGTTTTCTGACTCCTGCTCTAGATGATTCTAATCCCAGATGCCAAGTCTTCTCAGCTGAGGCCCCAGACTTCAACCAAGAAGCAAATGATACCCGCATTGCCTGGGCCTACTTCCTCACTGGTGAACATAATACAAAGGTTGTTTAAAATCATTAGAATAAAATCAAAGCAGAACCGTTTACTATGTCCAACAAGCACTCAGAGATTTGGAATTGAGCTTAGGAGAGAGGCAGTATGGTACAAAGAATTGGTCAGATAGTAACTATTTTTGGCTTTATGAGTCCATATAGTCTTTGTTGCAATGATTCAAGCAACTCAATTCTGCCACTATTGGCAGTGTGAAAGCAGCCAAAGAACTGAATATGCATGGCTATGTTCTAATAAAACTTTATTTATAAAAACAGGCAGTCGGGGGGCCAGCCGGTGGCATAGTGGTTAAGTGTGCACACTCTGCTTCAGCAGCCCGGCGTTCGCGGCTTTGGATCCTGGGTACAGACATACACACTGCTCATCAAGCCATGCTGTGGTGGCACCTCACACAGCAGAATTCGAAGGACTTATAACTAGGATATACAATTATGTACTGAGGCTTTGGGGAGGAAAAAAAGAGGAAGATTGGCAACAGATGTTGGCTCAGGGCCAATCATCCTCACCCCACCCCTTCGCCCCCAAAAAAAAGCATGTCTAAAATTTGGTCTGAGGACCATAGTTTGCTAACCTCTGGCACAGAGGAAACAATAGGGCCTTTGTAAGAAGACCCAGACTCTGGTCCAAAAGTCCCTTTTCTGCTACTTAGGAGGTTGGACTAGTCTCACCTTCTTGGACCCTCAACTTTCCTTATCGGTAAAAATAGAGTGAACAACACCTACCTGGCAGGATCATTAATATGTGTGGCTTGAAATAAACACCCAAATTCTAGTTTAATATTTTTCTAAGGTTATGATTAGAAACAAATAGCAAAGATTTCTATATAAACGTGATTGTTCAAGCCAGGAGGATGGAAGTTTCTTCGAGAATAAATCAAGCACAGGGTTTAACCTGGGGGTACAAAAAGAAAAAAGGAGAAATGTGAAAGGTCCAAGAGAAAGTACTCAGGAAGATAAAAGTAGAATGAGAAAAGTCAAGAGGATGGAATTCCAAGAAAGGAAGGGATCATCAGGAGCAGACCAGACTTGGAAGGGCTTCCCTTTTGTTTAAAGCTAATCCCTCCACTGTGCCCCTGATAAGATCCTGTCCTATTTCTTCCAAAATCGCCTTTATCAGCTTCATCACCCTTTACACACACACACTCCATTCTCCTTATTCTCGGCTGTTAGGTTCTACAAAGTCACTGCAAACACTGAATTAGTAAATTCTGAACTACTGCTCTTAGGGGAAATACAGAGTTAGGTTCCCACAAGACTATGGAGACAACATTTTCATCAACTGATCAATACATTACCTTACTTTATGTGTATTTCTATTTAAAGACACTGTATTCCATGTATATTGTTGATGCATTAACACTGAATTCATGACCAAGAGCACTATGTAACTCATGCATGAGTCAAGCTTATCTAACACGTGTATTTTCTCTGTAAGGCATCCTATAATGTTCTTTCACTTAGGAAGACTAGCCAGCACTTTAGCACTATGCTTGGGGACAATATTAAACAGTGAAATCACCAAAAAAAGCACAGAAATGCAAAAAACATACCACTAAATCAACAACAAAAAGGATAATTGTTTATAATATAAAAGCTGAAACAAGAAGGTAGAACTTTGCCTTTTTCAGGTTCGGCTGGGAATGTGTATGTTGGATGACTCAAAATTTCCACCACTCTGTATGTCCATGAATGATTGAGAAAGCAATATGAGTATTATTTTTGGGGTTACAAAAAAATTTTAGGCAAATCTGCAAACATGAAATATATGAATAATGAGGAGCAACAGTGTGTGTGGGGGTGTGTGTGTGTATATATATACATGTATGTATTTTTCTCCCTTAAAGACAGAGGCAGGCTAGACATATTATATGCCAAGAGGCAAGAAAAAAAAGCAATTAATATATGCAGGATAACTAAGGAAAAGACTACCCAGAAGAAATGGTGGGGGAGAGATGTAAATCCTAATGTTAATCTCACCTGGGATGGGAGGAAGAGAAAATGCGTGAAAACAGAGCTTTTGTAAATCCCCTCTCTCTTCCAGAATTAAATGTGCCTTCCAAGCAGGAAGGCCCATTGCCCAAAGCATAAATGGGAATAAGAGAGATAACATTACATAATGGCCAACTAAATGATCTCTCATCAGAAATTTGCAAGACAATAATACTCCAAATTTGAGGTTCTCAATACGGGGCAATTTTGACACCCAACCCCTGCAACCCCCCAAGTCAAGACTTGGGGAGAAAAAGAAGGGGTGTGCTACTGGCATTTAGCGGGTAGATTTGACAACACCAGAAGACATTTTTGGTTGTTATGACCTGGGGGCTGCTGCTAGCATCTAGTAGGTAGAGACCAGTGATGTTGCTAAACATTCTACAATGTGCTGGACAGCTTCTCACAGTAAAGAATTATTCCACCCAAAATGTCAATGGCGACAAGGTTGAGAAATCCTACTCTTACAAAATCCACTGATCACGTTTAACTTGGGTGTGTTCACTGGAAAACTGTAAGCCAAATCCAAACGTGAGGCTGCCCCTACTGGGAACAATGAATAGAAAGTGACTGAGACACCAAAATACTGAAACTATTGCTCAGTATTAGTCATCTTTCCCTCTACCCTTTTGTACTTGTGAGAACAGCTGGTAGCTCTGGGGTAGATAAATGAAAAAGGAAGTAAGCTGCAAATCAGTGGTTTCAAATGCAAATGTTGCAGTCTACACAAGTGCTGACCATTGATGACATGCACTAATAAACTACTGAAATAATCCTAACTTTGCCCTACAATTTACAGGTTTGAGAAAAATGAAACCTCAAATATTTATCAAAATTAGGAAACTCTAGCAATCTTAACAAAATTTATTAGAGATATGGAGTCAAAACACTCTATCAGCAAATTCTCACCACTGACAGAAAAAGAGGGCTACTTTTGCTAGGGGCTCCACCTTCCCAATTTCTAGTTCCAGGAAGCATCTACTGGAGTGGGGACAGTTGTCTGGACTTCAGTCCCTGCTGTGTCTCTCATTGATACGGTCACCTAGGACAAGTCACACTTTCTCTACACTTCTGTCTTTATATCACCTCAACAAAATTTTCTTCCAGCTAACTATTAATTCTATAATCCTAAAGAGGTGGTACAAAGAGAAATAAGGCTAAAAGAGAATAAAGCTCATACACTTAATCTTTCTCTCTTTTCATTTCAAATTATGCTTTCCTTTGAAATATGTTTTATTTCTTCCTTTTCCAGTCAAAGTTCCCATGGTATTTTCATTTCCTCTCATTAAAATAACTTTTCTTTAGTTTCAATAGGAAAGTATGCATCCACTAAAAACGGCTCAAGAATAAATTATTTCATGTAAATGGCTTCATTCAACCAAAAACATCACTGTTATTTACTCTGTTTATGTCAAATAATCAGATCCCTGTAATGTAGAATCTTTTGACTACCATATTATCACAGGACTTCTGAAGAGTATGGAGCAGGGGTAAAATCAACCTTATAAAGTGATTGAAGCACTATAGATCAAAAAGAATAAAAATCCAGGATGAAAACAATCATGATTTTTTAAAGCATATAGGGCATTTAAAGTATTTAAGACATGGGGAAACTATTAATTTCTGCAATAAAGCATTTTTATTACATTGCATGCCTGCACCAACATACACTCTTCCAGGAGATAGACCAAAGAACCAAAATTGGATTATAAATTACTGGTCGCTCCAACACGACAGGTATAAATACTATAAACACAATGAATGCAATTAAACTTCAGATAACCACAACAAATACATCTCTTTCTAGCTTCAGTAATAGACAAACACAAAAATACTGAAAGCATAAGCAGGAGCAATAGAAACATCAAAGAAAGAGAAACATCAGAGGTGTTTTAGATTAGCTGATCTTAATCCTGCCCTGGGCCTAGGGATTCTGATTCAGCTGGCTTAGGAAGACCATACAAGTCTTTGGGTTTGTTTTTTTCAAGATACTCAAACGACCCTGATGATCAGGGAGGTTTGAAAGACGCTGTCTTAAAAAAAAGTATTCAAATACAAGGCGCATACAAATTCAGTATGCTCTAAGACTAGCATGCCTTGTACAGAGAAGGCACTGAAATGGAGCCTGAAGAATACTGAATCATCTAAGATTAGAAGATTCTGAGACAACTTCCCCTTTCCGTGATGCCCACACTGGTTCTCAACTGAGGGTCAGGAGATACCAGTAAGGGCTGGTCTCTAAGGTCATCTCAGAAGCTGAGCACATACCAAACCAAACAGAAGTAGATGACCCTCCCAACGCCCCCAGAAGCTCGTATGGGGCAGACAGACTGGGTACCTTCTCAAAGTGCAGTCGAGACAGAAGCACCGGGCTGCTCGACCGAGGGCTCTTGTTGTACGACGGGCAATACTTGTCAGCGTCCCTCCACTCCGGGAGCCGCCGCTCGCCCTGCCGGTTCCGATAGGCACACGCTCTCGTGAGCACATCTCGAGGTAAGTGACACGATGTTCGCCCGCACATTCTTCAACGCCGCCTCTCGCCACCTAAATTTAGGGCGCGACACAGTAGGAGAACGTTCGCCCATCTCAAATCTTACGTCTCATTCCTTTAGTCACAGCATTCTCCCAAGACGCCCCACGACTCTGCTTCAGAGCCCCCACTGTGCGTCTGTCACCGCCTAGTCTGTCCCAGCAAACGGGCCTCGGCCCGTCGCGCTCACCCCCAGGCCCGCGGGCCGGCCCGCGCGAGGCGCTGACCGAGCGGCAGGCGGCAAACACCTGCCTGAACGCGGGAGGCCCGGTTCCCGGGGGGCGCACCCGCCAGCCGGCGCCTCAGCCCAGAAAGGCAAAGGGGGTCTGCGGTCACTGCCCGAGCCGGCAGCTCCTTCTCCGGGAGGCTCCTTCGGCCTCACCGCCGCGCCCGCCCTCCTTTCCCCGCTCCGCCCTCCCGGGACTCAGGAGCCGCCCGCGCCGCCGAGCACCTGCGCGCCCCAGGACCGCAGCCCGGCCGCAGGTGCCGCCCTGTCTAGACGCTCGGCCCTGCCTGGGCGGCGGGGCTCCTCTCCGACTCCCCACCGCCGCGGCCCGGGGCCGCCGCCCCCGCTCCCCGCGTCAGCCCCCTCACCGCCCGGCAAGGGGCCCCGACGCCGCCCTCCGCCCGCCCGCGTCGCCTCACCTCCGCTTGGGCCCGGAGCCCGCTGCCTCCCGCGTCTCCTCACCTCGGCCCGGCCAGCCGCCCCGCGTCCCCTCCACCCTGGTTCCCCTCCCCGCGTCGCCACACCTCCACCTCGGCCTTGGCCACTCACCCCCAGTCGCCTGAACCTCACCCCGGGCGGCTCTTCCGCTCCGCCGCCGCCGGATTCTGGGACTCCGCAGGCCCGCGCCGGCGGCCTCAGGCCCCGCCCCCAAGCAGCGGCTTGTTCCCGCGAGGTTCCCCGCGCCGCGGGCGGGGCTTTTTCTCCGCCGCCGTCAGGACAGGGAGGGAAGGCGTGGAGTGTGACTCCCGAAAGTGCCCCAGGAGGAGACTGTGGTTGCCTTTGGGGACTCCTGAACCCTAAGGTTCTCAGAGCCCCACTTTCCTCCATATTCGCTCGTGCCCGAGCGGGGTGAACTCCGCTCCTGGCTGCCAGGGCCGACCGCAGGAAGGGAGCTGGGGGTGCGGTGGAAGGATCTTGAAGGACCGGGCTCCCCAAGTCTCCAGGGGCCAGCAGAGACTAGATGCGTCCCGGGGAGCCTTAAGTGCCCTGCTCTGTATAGCGGGAATCATTTCTAGGGCACCAGGTCGTTGTAGGGGTGATGTAAGAAAACGTTTTCTTTATCTCTGCTGCTAACTGCTCAGAGTTCAGGGGCAAACATGGAGAAACCATCAGGAAAACCTCCATGAATCACACAAGTCACTCTCGAACTTCGGTGCGCGCCAGAATGAGATTTTCCAGGCCCCTCACCCTCCCCACAGCCCCAATCTGAATCTCTAAGGGGAGGCCTGGGTTTTTTTACACAGGCTTTACAGGTGTATTTCCGCCACAAAGTCGGTAAGGCCATCTGGCTTAAGTTTAAAAGAGCAGATGAGGTGGCCTCTGAGCCTGCTCCCTGGGGACATGAACCAGGGCTTTCTGCATCTGCAGCCAACAGACAGTGCTCTCTAACGGCTGTTCTTCCCCTCAGTGCAGTCACTAAATTGGACTGAACTGGGAGCAGGCAAACCCCAGGGCGCACTGCACCGCAGACCTGATGACAGGGAATGCCCAGGCAATGGACACAAACCCTCTGGGGCCTCCATTCACCCTAGAAAGGAGGCTGATTGTGAGAATGCAAGAATAAGCATGTGAACTCAATGGCTGCTCTCATTCCCTCAGCAAGCCTGCGCTGCTCCTTGTCCTGGGCATGGGGCTTGGACCGAGATGATTGGGAGAGGGGCCCTGCCTCATGGTAAGTACAGCAACCAAAGGGCTGTGGGTGCAAAGGGGATGGAGCAGGTGTTCCTCTTGGTGGTGGAGAGGCCTCGAAGGGGAAGGTGGAGTCTGCAGTCAATGTGAGTAAACTAAACATGAGTCTGCAGTTATTCAATAAATAGATGCTAATTTATTTATAGGGATAAGATAGTTTCTTTGGGGATAAATTCAAGAGGAGGTGCAAGCATTTTTTTCACTTGTGATGTCCTTTCCCTGGCAGGGCAAGTTCTAGGACAAGCTAAAATTATCCTGTATTTTAAGAAAAAAACATAGAGTAGTCCTGGGGCAGGGGTTAATAATTTAAAAAATCCTCAGTGATTCCTTTTGAACTGTTTTTGAATACAGAGGCTTGGGAAGGAGTTTCCACTGGGTTCAGTTCTGCATGGTGTTGGGGCAAAGAGTAGGAGTAGTGCCTATTCAGACTGGCCTCTTAGACCACACATGCCAAGATGATGTCTACGGGCAGCTCCTCCGAACTTCTGGCTGTCACCTGCATTGTTACTGTGTCCAAAAGCAGCAGCTGGGAGTGCACCAGGATGTCATGACCTCCCCAGAACACACCTAGAAGAGAAGGGAGTAGTACAAGTGTGCAAAGCAGAAGAGAGCTACAGAGCGAGGCTGAGGACGGTGTTTGCAGCAACTGATCAAGGCAGCTCTGGTGCAGTGAAATGGGAGTGGGCCTGGAACCAGGAGAGCTGGGCTGAAATCCCTGAGGCCTTGTGCAAGTCACTTTACCTCTCTGAGCTGCAGTATCCTCAACTACAAAGTGGAGGAGATAATACTAAAATTATTTCAAGATTCTGCCAAGCTCAATTGAATTAGTGGACATATAAGGCTTGTATGTGGCGTTACAGAGCTTCTCACACATTGACTGAATCTAAGAGCACAGATGAAGGGACAGCCCCACCATGACAAAACCGCAGAGCAGGTGTCTGCAAGACCCGGGGGACTGGGCTTGGGGGCTGTCAGCTGTGAGCAGGCCACTGTGGCAGAGCGCTGTAGCAGAGCTTCCTCCAACCCTGTTTATAAACACTTAGCAAAAAGAAACTCCCCACTTCCTTTTGTTGGCTGTTTTAGGTGTGATAACTGTATTGCCCCCCCCTTAAATGAAAGGTCATTATCTCTTAAAGAAACATACAAATACAGAAACATTTACATATAAAATGCTTTATCTGGAATTTTCTCTAAAATACTCAAAGTACTATTTTTCTCTTTATACCGTTTTTCTCCCACACTGACAAGATCATAAAATCTGATAATATACTGTATTGTCCAGGGTGTGGAAGGAAAGGCATACAATTCCTATGAAAGGCAACTGGAAATATTTATAAAGATGAGAAACGCACTTTGACCTGGTAATTCCTTGGGAAATTTATCCTATAGATATCCTCAGTGCACATGTGGAAAATAAAGTATGTGTATGTATATGTGTATGTCTGAGATTCTTCACTGTAGCCCTGTCTGTAAGAGGAAAAGACTGGAACAATCTGAACATTCATCAATAGTGCTGGTTCTAAGCTACAACAAGAATGAGGATTTGGTTTGGGATGATGAAAAAGTTCTGGAGATGGATGGTGGTGATGAGCACAATAGTGTGAATGTACTCAGTGCCACTGAACTGCATACCTACAAATGGTTAAAATGGTAAATTTTATGGATATTTTACCACAACTTACAAAAGAAAGAATGAAGAAACTCTATATACTGAGAGGGAAGATCTCCAAGATGCATAGTCAAGTGAAAAGCAAAGTGCACAACAATGTTTATACCATTTGTACATAAACATTTGAGTTAAAACAGAGAAATGTGTCTATATTAGCTTTCCTATCCATACAATCACTGGAAGGACACATCGGCATTGTTTGTAATCGTGACACACTGGTTGTCTGTGGAAGGGAACTGGATGACGGGCAGCAGGCCTGGGAGGGAGACATTTCACTACAGGGCTTTTTTTACCTGGTGAATTTTCAATGCTGTAAATTTTGAATCCCTGTGTTCCCAGTGGGAGTTCCATCCCAGGATGCAGTGGTGTCCAGGCTATGAGCTACCCAGGCCTTTCCCAGGGCCCCCGCCTCACCGGAGTTCACCCCTCCTGACCCCCATCTGACCCCATGGCCAGCCACTGCAGTCCAGATTCGGGTCCACAGAGGGGCCCAGCATGCCCAGGTCTCACCACCCGGGAAGGCTGCCACTGGGGTGATGGTGATGGTGGCAGTTGGGGCAGAGGCTCGGGCGATGGGGCATGGGCGGGGGGGGGGGGGGGGGGGGGGGGGGGGGGGGGGGGGGGGGGGGGGGGAGTGGTGGGGGCCTGGTGGCGGTGGAACCAGCCACCCAGATAGCTGGGGGATCTCAGGACCTTAGGAGAGGAAGGGGGAGGCGCCCTGCCCCTCTCTCCCTTCCTTCCTCCTGCCTTCAGTCCTTCCCTCCCCCTCCCCCCCACAGCAGAGCTTCCTACACTTGACGCCAGCAATAGTTCAATATTCATTTACTTGCTTCATCACCAGTGCTGGATGTCATAACTCTTTGTAATTTTCCAGCTAGCTCTGCAGCTATGTCTGTCCATGTTACTAAGTGCTAGCTAGGAGGATGTGACCAAAAGTAATGTGTGCAACTTCAGATTCCTGTTCTTAAAGTAAATTGTTGTGTCCTTTGCCCCCTCCTCCACTTGGCTCCTTGGGATGTGAATGTGATGGTGTGCCATCTTGGGCTTGGTGAATAAGGTCACCACCCTCAGGGTGATGGAAAACAAGAAAGATCTACACCAGTCCTGTACTACCTAACTGCAGACTACTAAATGTGAGGATAGAAAAATGAGTTATCTTTTTTTTAAAAAAAGATTTTTCATTTTTCTGCCAAAGCCCCCCCACCCAGTACACAGCCGTGCATTTTTACCTGTGGGTCCCTCCAGTTGTGGCATGTGGGATGCCACCTCAGCATGGCCCGATGAATGGTGCCACGTCTGGGCCCAGGATCCGAACTGGTGAAACCCAGGGCCGCCGAAGCAGAGCGCATGAACTTAACCACTTGGCCATGGGGCAGGCCCCTCTTGTTTTTATTAAGGTATACTTTTTGTTGAGGAAGATTAACTTTGAGCTAACATCTGTTGCCAATCTTTCTCTTTTTGCTGGAGGAAGATTGTTGCTGAACTAACATCTGTGCTAATCTTCCTCTATTTTGTATGTGCCAGTCTTCCTCTATTTTGCCACCACAGCATGGCTTGATGAACGGTGTGTAGGTTCACACCTGGGATCTGAACCTGTGAACCCTGCGCCGCTGAAGCAGAGCAGACGAACTTAACCAATAGGCCACCAGGCCAGCCCCTTCATTGTCTTTTTAAATGCTGTCAGTCATTTCTGCTATTTTGTACCACTGTCAATATTATTTTCTATTTACACACATTTTAACATTTTCTTTGTCCACCATTCTTCTTGTTTCTTAAATCCTCCATCTAGGACCACTTGTATTATTAAAAGCATGCCAATACCTCTCCTAAGCCCCCCGAGCTACACACCTCTTTAGTCCATGACAATGAGTTTTGAAGAGACTAGGCAATACACAGGTGAGGCACAGCTGAAGGAAAACTGAATCCACTGGGATAGAATGCATGCACCCTAGCATAGGAGCACAGGATCATGGAAAATACTGAAGAGACAACACAAGCACGGAGAAGAGAAAGATCATGTCGGACACCTGGAGGATTGGGATGTGGCAAAAAAAGATGGAGAGAGTGTGTTTCTGAGACAGTATTTGGAGATTCCCAGACTGACCATGACCCCAAAGCCATGCTGTGGACTGCAAGAAGAACACCCTGAGGCGCCACGATGGAGATTATCCATCAAAGACCACCAGAGGAAATGTGCTGACAGCCAACCCAAGGTCTGAGAAGTGTGCAGACAGGGCAAAAGAGAAAAAGAAAAAAACACAGAGAGAGAGACAGGGAGAAAGGGCACTTTCCGAGGAATAACCTTTGTCACTCACCTGACCCCCAGGGGACCAACTTCCCAGTCAAAACAGCAGAAGCCAGATGAAGTGATGGGAGGCCAAAACAGACAGCTCAGCTGGCAGTGGGCAGTTGTGAATTGGCCATAAATTCTGCAGTTGAGTTTATCCTGCTGTCCCAAAGCCACTTTCCTCTTCTTGATCATAGCACTAGGGTTAGGTCAGATTTCAGCATTGAGAGGAGGGGCATGGGAGTCATAAGCACCTTCTCTCATGTCTTTTGGAATTTTCCCACTAAGTCTAAAATAAGTTCCTCATCAGGTCTTCTTGGGTACTTGAGTTTGGAAGTTTCTCTCAGGATGCAGAAGGGTTCCTGTGACTGCCAGTCCAAGCCAGGCGTGCCTTCAGAAAACGCAGGAGAGACTTCGAGGAAGGAAAAACAGGTCACAGCCACAGCGGAAAGAGAGCAATGCAGCCACGAGGGGACTGGGAGGAATGGGGACGGCAGGGTGCCCAGGCCCAGCGGGCAAGCCTCATCCCTCCACGGGGACGGGCGGCTCCCTGGGCTCGGCCTGTGTCTCCGGGTGCCGAAGCCCCTGAGCCAGCAAAGCCACCCAGAAGCGCACAGGCAGTCCCCTCTTGGGCTCACAGGGCAGACCCCTTGGAGGGTGTGGCAGACAGTTCCAGGCACATCCTCCAGGCTGACTTGAGGAAGGGATCCCACCGCCTGGCTCCGGATGCTGCTTTCTCAGCCAGGCCCCTGCCCGGCTTTCCCCTACTCCTGGGAGCCCCAACCACCCATTCATCCTTCTATCCATCTTTCTTTTCTCCCTTTTTACCTAACTTCCTACCTCCCTTCCTTCCTTTTTACCTTCCTAACTTCCTTCCCTCTTTCTTACCTCCGTCCCTTCCTTGTTCCTTCCTGCCATCCAAGTGTCTGAAGGACCCACTGGAAAACATGGGCCAGAGCCGCCTCAGGAAAGCACCGGCCAAGCCTAGGCACCGCCAGAGGGCGCGCCCGCTCCCTCAGAGCCTCGCGCTCGCGTTGCTTAGCACCGGGGGTGGGCATTGTGAGGCCAGAGAGGGCCTGCGGCCCGCGCGTGCGCAGTTGATTGGCCGGCTGCAGCATCAGGAAGCTGGGCTCCGGGAGAGTGTGGTTGGTGGGGATCGGGGCCTGGGGAGAGGAGGAAGGAAGTGCGAGGGGGGCAGGCGTGCAGGGCGCCTCCACCTTCCCCTCCAATGGTCCCGGAGATCGCAGATCTCTGGGCGGCTGCCTCCACCGCCGCCATGACCCCCACCGCTGCCCCTCGCCACCCCAGCCTCTGCCCCAACTGCCACCATCACCACCACCCCAGTGGCAGCATTCCCGGGTGGTGAGACCCGGGCACGCCGGGCCCCTCTGTGGACCCGAATTGGGACCGCAGTGGATGGCTGTGGGGTCAGATGGGGATCGGAAGGGGTGAACTCCGGTGAGCCGGGGGCCCTGAAGATACCCCGAGTCCCACACCAAGGGACGGGGTCGGGTCAACCGCAAAATAGGCCAATCCTGGGACCGATGCCTCCCCTAGACATGGGCACAGGAGGCCTCTGCCCTGGGGCCACAGCCCACGGGTCATTGCCTCTCCTGGGCCTTCCAGGAAGATGTTGAAAGCCACCTCCCCTCCCTGCCTGTTGCCCTGCCCAAAAACAACCACCTGCCCTCAGGTGGTACCTGGGCATGGCCATTGAGGCCCAACCCAGGCATAGACCCTCCGTGGGCGCTTGGGCCACGGATGGGCATTCTCCTATCAGGCCTCTGTCGCCTCCACCCAAGGGATCACCCTGAAAGGGCTCTAGCCGTCCTCAGAGTATCCTCTTTGGCGAAGAAGCAGTCTCTTCTAGGCTCCTGTGATAGTCAGGAAGAGTATTCTCCAGGCCTTTCCGGGCTTGGACCCCTCCCGTTGTGTTCCAAGTCGTGGCGAGGGCGGTACCCCACCTCTGGGTACGCCCACCCGAAGTCTTCGGATCCCTGAGGGAAAAGCGAGGGAAAAGAGGCAAGTTGTCCCTCAACGTGAATGATGCCGAGAGACAGGCTCCTGGAGGGTTGCAGGGGGAGGGACGAGCGTCCGGGAAAGGCACCGGGGCGAGACTCGGAAGAGAAGTGCTCGGTCTTGATAGGGAAGGGTCAGTCTCTCTTAATTGAAAAACCAAACCAAGCCAGCCGAGGAACTGGAAAAGAGGAGTGTCCGTGACTTAAGCAGAACAAAAGCCACGAGCTGAGCAGAAGGGTTGAAGAACAGGAGAGACACCTGGAAGGAAAAGCGAACCCACGGGGATCGAACTAGTGCAGCCAAGCGGAGGAGCACTGGATCACGCGAGAGAGTGAAGAGCCAAGGCAAGCACAGGGGACAGAAAGATCACATCGCACACCTGTGGCCTTGTGCTTCTTGGGATCTGGACTTGGTCTCCTCAACTTTGGGGTAGCTGCTTTCCTCTGGGTAGTTGAG